AAACAGTGGCGATACCACGTCATTTCCAACGTAGTTTGCACGATAATGGTAGTTTTGTATTTCACAGAGTACCTGTTTGCAATAGAAAGGGGCAAACATAACGGGAAAAAGTTAAAAAGGTTTGCTTTTAATTGTTCTTTACCCTTTTCCAAATTCTAAAGCAGAAACTGTGGAGTTCCTCAAGTTAGGACGAGTTGGAAGTTATAAAGTTGAAGTCAGCAACAAATAACTGAGTTCTGTTTGATGAAGAAAACCTCAAAGGATCGTCCTGATTAGTCTATTTAGAAACCTATAGTTTTCCAATGATGAAGTCATGATTAGTTTTAGTTTTGCATCTGATTGGTTGAGATGGTGGTGCATATTTCTATAGACCAATCACAGAGAAGAGTAAAGTAAAGTAAAAGTAAACCAATCCTGGATCACTTTTGCCACTCAATTTAAAATTTCTATGTGCTCTGTAATGCTATTCCTCCGTAGACGAATAGAGCTCTTTTATTGGGTTACCCTCATCATTTTACAGTAAATGGTTTGAACCCGGGGGTAACATTAAGTGTTTTCTGATCCAGTCTGGGTGAGTGTAGTCCTGAGAAGGACTGCTGTCGGTAGAGGTTAATGACGTTTCGACAGCCTAAGCGGAAATCATAATCAGAGTCGAGTTGTTGTAAGTCGATGATCAGACTACAGTATCACCTTTACATTTTGACAAGTTTCTCTGAAACTATACTCTCCACTCTTTGACCCTTTAGAGCGTTAACAGGGACCGCGCAGAGGGAGGGGCTGGGGGGGGCGGCCTTGCAAAAATAAAAATAAATTAAACAAAAAATAATTTAACAAAAATATCGGAGCCAAAAATAGCCTCCCCCCCCCCCCCCCCCCCCCCCCACCCCCCCACTCAAAAACTTGCTGTGCGGTCCCTGGTTAAGCATCTCATTTCCCCCAACAACATCACCCTTGAATCAAGCATTGAGGTCATGAGAATATAGGAAACGATCACCGACAAATTATTTTTGTCAGCACCCTGTTATGAATCCAGCCAGCCCCGCAGCTAAATTAGCTTCCTTAGACAGTTCATCAATCGATAAATATTCGATGAGGAACGAGTTAGAAGGATTTTTTAAAGCCTTCACCTCAATTTAAGTAGAATTTACATCTTCTTTTTGGGGGGGGGAGGGGAGAAAAGAGGCGTTGGAGTTTCCTTTTTCTATTTTTCTTTTTTCTTTTTTATGAGGTATGGAAAGGAATATAATAAATTGTCTTTAGACATCGCATTTTCTCGTATTTTAAAGTCTTCATAGATGGTCAATTTGGATCTTGCGGAGCCCATCTCTTATTAATAGCAAAGGATTCAAACAGAATATGGTACTATCCAAAGTCGGTGGAATATTCATATTCTGTTAGAATTCGATTTAATATCCCAAATGCGTTCAGTGTTACCGACGTAATACCTTAGAGATGTCTCACTTCTCTATTGTTTTGTGAGAAGTTAAATACGTTTGCGACGTTAGTAAAGCGTCTAACTTACTATTTCAGTAGTGTTTATGGCTGCGAGGATCTCTTATATTCGTTTCTTCACCGCAGTGCACAGATATGATACGGAAAGAGTACAAAAGACATTAAGGGTAGCAAGTATGACCCATAAACAACTGTGGAAATATACGAGAAAGATGAAGAGACTTTCATTTCGGACTCACGTTCTATGCCGTTTTACAAGTACCATCGTTGAAATACTCAAAAAGTGAGATTTTCGGCCGACATAATTACTCTAAAGATATTAACACACACAATGTTAAATAACATTGTACAGTGGAATGATAAACCAAATGTAGTCTTCAAATGTTACCAAAAATAAAGACCAATTCCTTGCAGAAAATTTTCCCTTAAGACAAATTAGTAAATGCTTAGAGTTGTAAAACGCACGGTGAACCATACCGAACCTCTCCGTAAAAAGAATCGAAGCTCAAATACCAGAAAATGAAACGCACTCTATTAGTTATTATATAAGCTGCGGTTGGAAGGGGGAAGGGAGGGTTGAGGCTTGAAAAAAGTGCAGGCTGTGTTTCAAACTGACCCGAAGCTAATCAGAAAAAAAAACTTTTTAGTGGTGGTGTGTCATACCAATCAGTCGTCTTAATATCCATAAGCTCAATCTCTGCCTCTTTCTCACATCCGGTTTAAGATCCTGCCACTAGTTAGCAAGCAAATTTGTCATTAAAGAGAAGTAGACCACATTCTGATTGTAATCAATGAACATGAAATAAAACTACAATACTGGACTTGAAAACTACACCCAAACACCCAACCAACTTGCCCAGTGACATTTGACCACACCCAAGTGACTAAAGTCACAAGGGTTTAGTAGACACTAGCACTGACGTGAAATGAAGACACGGATGAAAAAAATATATATTTAATAAGGTTTTATTCATGTACATATCTTCAGGATAAATAGTGGTTTTCATAAAAAAAGCAAAAATTGAGAAAGTTATTGTTGTATGCTAGTCAGTAGCAGGCAAGGGCATAGGTGAGGGAGCATGTTGTGTGTACAGAAGTCTTACGAGTTACAGCACAATAAACCAAGGTAGTTTGAACCATGCATGTTTTTTTCCATATGGCATAACATTTAAAAATTAAGAGTTGTTTCTTTCACTCTGACATCCCTTTAAGAACGTTTATACCTCACAACAAATTTCAAATCAGTGGACAGGCTTGTAATTTCTTTATTCAGCCCCATCCCTCAATCATAAAGGCCATGGCAAGAAATTTATAATAGGTATCAGGTTGGGGGATAGAAAAATTTTCCACTCCCAAGAGCAAGAAATTTGAATTTGCATCTAACCCTTAAAAACGGAGACATCCTAAATTTTATCACACAGTATAATGTGGAATATATCTTGAATTCTACAGCACATTTTGCTCTACATTGGTCAATTTATTACAATAATTTACTTTAGGGAAAACTAATCTCTCAGTAACTTGTTTCTACTTAAAAAAGAAAGAAAAATGGTCAGTCTCAAACTATTTGAGCTTTGAATGTTATGTTTGGATTCCTAATGTCATCAAGACTTTGAACAAGCCGTAGCTCAATTTGTCCAGCTGTAGGTTTGTTTCCTTCTCCAGCCAGTCCTGACAAAAAAAGAAGAAGAATCATTGAAATCTATTTGTCAATAAGCTAACAATTACTTATTTTCTACCTGATAATTAATTAAAAAAAAAAAACCATTATGTAGAAAGTAGAGATGTCTATGATTCAGCATCTGGGTTTTTTCGTTTTGGCAACTGCCTTTTTTTCCCTCAAACTGATTCTTAACCTTTTGACCCTTAAGAGTGACTAGCATCTAATTTCTTCTATCCACTATCCCCCTATCTCTTTATTATTGCTCTAGAAACGCTTGCTATATACATTAGAGGCAGTGATGAGATTAAGGGCATCAATATTCGGAATGAACATGAGATTAAATTAACTGCATTTGCCGATGATATGACTACGATGATATGACTTTTTTTTTTTTAAAATGTAAAACGAAAAAACACAATAAAATGTTAAAAAAAAAAGAAAAAAAAATCTAACTTCTTCTTACAATATCACCCCTGAATCAAACATCAAAGTCGAATAAAGGGAATGATCACCATCTAAAGAACTCTTGATTGTTCAACTAATTTTCCTTGTCAGCAGCTCAGGAAATGTATGGAGAACAGTATTCATACTGATGCTTGGGTATAAAAGGTTAATGTACTGCTGAAATCTATAAAACACATGGCAGGGCGTGAAATTAACTTTTTTTTCTGATAGCCACTTGGCTCCTAAATTCTTCAAAGTGGTAGCCAATTCTTAAAAAGTTGGTCGCCATTTTCAAAGACAAACAAAATCTTTCTTTACGCTGTCAGCGTTCAAGATAGACCCTCCAAAATTAAGTTAGGGAAAAGATCTTTAACGTGCTACAAAGTGGACACTAGGATGGATGATATACAAAGTTCAGGCTCATCTAAATCCAAGATGGCGTCTAGTTATCGATCGAGATGCATGTGTTACGTTTTGGAAACAAACTTAACGAGGAAGTTTGCCGCGGATTTATCTTTGCAAATTTTTTTAATTCACCATATCTCTTGGTAAGGTTATGATGAAACGTTCTAGTCGCCAATTTGGCGACTAACTTTCAGGATTTGGTCGCCAAAGTGAAAAATTTAGTCGCATTGGCGCCTGTATTAGGCGCAATTTCACGCCCTGCATGGACCTTTTCAAACTAAGCCATTTCCTTTAAAAGAACAGAAGGTTTTGCTGTACTCATATAAGGTAACCAAGACCAAGGAATTATTACTTGCTAATAAGATGTCCCAATGAAAACCCCACCATATGCCTAAGTAAAAGGTAGAGATCTGCAGCTTAAAGTCTATAGCTATTGAGGGAAACAATCATACAATTATGAACTTTTGACCATAATTGGCAAAGATTATCATTTCAGCTCAAGCCCTGTTGGTAAGTTTTGCAGTTCTACAAAGTTGCAGCATTTTTTTCCTGCAGGAACTCTCTTTAACCATTTAGTTTGCAAAAGTCAAAATACGTAAAATGACGAATTCAGTTGTATTAATATACTCTATCTTGGACAATATCACTTACGCTGTGCATGAGCTAGCGTTCGTTTCAGCACTGCTTGAACTGTTGATACAGTTGCCTCACAGGCATGTGCTAAATCATCTGGATGTCTATGAAGCCAGGCAAGAAGGACACTAGCAAACAAATCTCCCGTTCCAGTGAAGATGGCATCTACTTTAGGAATTTCCATCCTAATGCACTTTTTGTTGCCTTGGTTGATAGAATTAGAACAGACATTTAGTACTTCTTTTTTCAAGAGAAATAAGTAAATATATTCTGACTAACAGTATCAGAGAGGCACAAGTCTGGAGGGAGGACTTGCACTCTTGTATAGTTGATGGTATCTTAATGATGGTATGTTGTACCCCAAAATGCAAAATACAATGTCTTTACCATCCCTGTCTCTCCCCCCCTCTCTAAATAAGAAAAGAAAAAAATATGACCCAAATAGTTAGGAGCCATGGAAAGCTGTTTTAGTTTCATATTTAGCATAGACAGAATGTTAATAGCCTTTGCTTCCCATAAAAAGAGAGATACAAGAATGGTAGATGTAAGGGGTATGACTGTAGTTGTTATGTAATGATATGATAAAATGTATGTAGAGGCTGCAGAAAACCTTATTACGATATTTATTAATATCCTATCTCCATACAAGATCACACACATGTGGTGGTTATCTAATGATGTGGTAAAATGGTATGTAGAAGCTGCAGAAAACCTTTTTACCATATTCATCATCTTATTTTCACACAAGATCTCTCAAGTGTATGGAGCATGTTCACTGCTCACAAGAAGTCAAGTCTCTCACATATTTTTAAGTCTCTAAGAGGCTACAGAAGGCTTGAAAAATTTACCTTGTAGTCTTATGAAAAGAAACAATCAGAACTCACCATTAACAGAGCTGCCAAGAGCTATTAGTGTTTTGTTATCTCCCAGTTCTGAGCTAGTAATTACCACAGTCTTGGTACCTCTTTCATGTAGTATCTTCATAGCCTGACAATCAAACAAAAGAAAAAACACAAAATACACAAAAAACACCTCAGAATATATAACCATGATATCATACATTTCAAACAAAAAGGAATTTCATGAAAGGGCAGCTCAGTCATTCCTACCATGCATGGAACCCATGAAAATTTGATATAGAAAGTTCACTTTTTCAAATGGAGAGTTCTTAGTTCAAAGTGAGACTTGAGATGAGTCAAATTGACAACAATGATAATGTCTGCTTTCGTCTATCAATCAATGAAATTTCTATTATCATCAAATCCAAGTTTATGTATTATAAACAACTGAAAATAATTGGTAGAATTCTCCACAAAGCACAGTTAAAATCTATAAAATAATGGTTTTGTGTTTAAAATCTAATGATCCATTATACCTTAAAGGCTTCGCTTTCATTGGTTATCTTCATGCCAGTCAGAAGTCTATTAAAAAATAGTCATAGAAATTGATTACACTTCAGTTATTAATACTGTTCCTAATGCCCCCTATAATTTATTACACATAAACTGAGAGGTGAAAATGCATTCCTCCAAGACAAATTTCTTTGAAGGTTATCCCTGGTCTAAATCTGGGTACATCATGGTTCCATGAGGAGAGTAAATAATGTACTTTTGCACAGCACATTGGCATCGCTCTGCAACCAAAATCAAGAATAATTACTCTTTTAAAGAAGAAAGTTTTAAAAGTTACTCACTCTGCTTCAAACTGATTTGGAGTTATAATATCTGCTAATGGAAGGAGCTGGTCTCTGTAGACTGGTAACAACTCTTCAGGAACATACTATCAAAGAGAGAAAATGAGATATAGACAAGAATATTTTGCATACCTTTATGTTTTATGTATGGAGGATAGATTCATGATATTTAAAAGGCTTGTTTTGTTATTTTTAAAGACGAATTCTGTAATGAATTTGAGTTTTTCCTCCTTTTCATTTTTATCTTAGAACAAAAAATTCCCACTAATTTTCTAAACAAGTAATGTTAATTTTCCTGGAAAATGAACCTACCAATAGCAACCTCTCAGAAACCCCCTTAATTTTGAATTTAATTACCTGTAACTCAAACACAAGTTCAGCAAGCCCAAAATTTTAGAAGTATATTGTAATATTAAGATTCATCTATCTGCAAAGTTGTAAAGAATCTGAATGTAAAATTTAGAGCAAATTCTTTTTCAGTTGGCCATCCTTGTCACAAAGTAATACTTACAAATTTCCCTGCATCGCCCATGACAGGATCACAAACTTTAAAAGTAAAAAGAAATAATTTCAAAATTTGATGATCAAACCAACTCCAATTCAGTACTAAATGTTATTGCATACCACTGTTCCTCAACTAGAAAACTCAGAGCTCAGATACATACCAAACACTAGGTTAGGATTTGCTTGTCGTAGATCATGGACAACTTGAAGTACCTCCTCCAAAAATGATTTTGAACCTACATAACCTTGGACAAAACAAATTAATATACTATAACAACACTCAGGGCAATAATAAAAATAGTCTCAATTGATCAGGTAAATTTGAGAGCAATAAATATTGTACCTGTCAGAAGGTGAGAGAAATGATGTAATTTGTTCAGTTTGAGACCTTCAAATAAGACTTTGAGTTCATTAGCATCCAGAACTTGACCTTTTACATGGTCATATCCTTTGAAAAAAAGAAGACAACAATTGACAGAAATAGTGTGACAGTGTCACTCACAGGTTATTGATTGACTTGATGGTATTTATACTTGCTCCAAAGGGTCTTGTGTAGGTTCTTCAGTTCTCCTACATTAAAAATGACCAACCTCTAAGGTTCTTTACCAGTAAGACACGAGAAGGCCACATTAAGCTTCTTAATTTATCTAGTTGTGTTCTGCATTTTTGAGAGGATAGTTAAAAATGAACAGAGGATCCATTTGCAAAGATTAACCAAAAGATGTAACAGACATATAACTGGCAATTATCAGAAGAACTTGCATATTGATGTACATGCATTTAAGGTACTGAAAACTAAGTAACTTTGACTCTTATGGTCATGGATCACCTTGGATTCTTGACAAATTAGCCCAATAAACCCTATGAGCAATTAATATCTAATTTATCCCTAAAGGAAATGATCCCCAACTGAAGAAGTTATTGATTTTTAAACACATTCTCCCTGTCAGCGCTTCAGGAAATGTATAGAGAACAATGTGGATAATAAGCATACTGATGTTATGGTGCAAATGGTTAAAGAGTTGAAAGAGGTGAAAGAGAGATTAGGCAGCAAAGAGGAAAAGACACATCTTCCTCTTTTCACCTCTGCACTTTCCCACCCAAAAACACAATATGTATCCCAATAAAGCATATTTGTTCACATAAAAAAGCTCTATTGAGTAAAGGAGTCAAAATGTTTGTCACACTAACCTGTGTGGTTAGAAAGCTGGACTGAATTGATTGTGTCAACATCAAATCCAAGAACCTAAACCAAGAAACTGGACGGTTGAGTCTTTAAGGCTTAGAGTCCTATTCAGTAGCTTATCCTAGTTTCTCTTATCTAACTTTCTAATTTCTCATGAGACAACTAGGAAGATTAAAACCTTGCCGAGCTAGGGTGGTAGTCTTTATCAGGTTGACACCCCCTCCCCCACTCCCCACACCTTTCACCAATAGTTTCTAACTTCTCTAGTACCCTTGTGTATTCTTTGGTGGAAACTGGGCACTGGAAAATGGTATCTATCTTACCTATCAATGCAAAACAACAAACCAACTTGAGTTTAAGCACCAACATCTCAAACCACAACCTGGTCAACCAATCGCAAAGCTACAACATGTTAAGCTCAGTTTCTGTTCCATGAAGCATTTTATGGAACCAATTTATATCACTGGTGGACAGGGGTAGTTTGAGAGTGAAGTGTTTGCCAAAGAGCACAACAAAATGACTGGCTTTAGTCCACAATCCAGAGTCCAGAAGGCCTGAGCCTTCCAAGCTACAGAGACTTTCACTCTTCCAATATGAACACATTCACATTTTTTGGAGATTGAGGGGTGACAAATTAAGACCTCAGAAACTGAGCCAGCAAGTGAACTAGGTTTTGAGTTTACCGAAGGAGGGGTGGGTGGAGATAAGAGGAAAGGTAACAAATCTTATAATTCGTCAGTTATCACACGAATAGATTATTCACATCATGAACGTCTGAGAAAATTAGCAAAAACCACAGTACTGATACATTTAACTACCGATCTGCGTTTAAAATGTTTCGCTTGCATTTGTCCAGTCATTAACTGAGCATAAGCTTCTAGAGCGTGGGCACATTTCTATTCGTATTAAGTTACCAACCTGAAGAGGAAATGTGGCAGAATCGTTTCCTACATAGCCTGACACTACGTGACTTTGAATAGATAATACTCTACACAACGAAGTCGCTTCCATTCGATCTAGAACTTATAAACGTGAGGCTGATCGATCACGCGTCTGTCACTCTTAGGCAATGTTGAGAAATATCCCGCGCAATCATTTTGCCTGGTAGCCTCGCCTTCTAAACGTTTGTTCGCTCTTGATAAAGTGACTACTGTAGTAAATGCTGTTCTACCGTGCAGTATGTACCCCTCTTTTACCCTCTTTATAACGAAGTGCGTCTCTTTTCTTTAGCTCGTGGTTGTTTACATTTTGACTTACTTAGTGATAATGCAAAAAAATAGATTTGTAGGACCTTTATTACCAGTTAGATGTGGCTACCAAAACAAGCTAAAACAAAACTATTAGGAGTTCTGATTGATAACCAACAGCTATGGAGAGAACATGTAGATAAAGCGCTAAAAGCTTTTGATAACCAGCTACGTGTCTTGAGGAAGATGAGTTATCTCCCATCACATCTTTTGGAAGAAAATTATCTTAAGACTGTAATATCTCGAGTGACTTACCGTATCGGAGTCTAGGGTAGTTGCTCTGTTGCGACAAAGTGTTTATTGAAATGGAAAACTTGCATATCGAGGCAGGAAGAATTACTCATAAAATATCGAAAAACTATTTGGACCATGAAGTCCTTGACCTTATCAACTGGTAAGACTTGGGATACATATATAAAAGAAGATTAGTAATTGAAGTTTTTAAAGTCAAGCAAGGCCTGAACAGCAGGTTACTTTCGTTTGTCACTTTCACAGAATTCAACTGAACGCGGAAGCGCAAAGCGCAAAGGCCCATTCCTTGAAATCAAACGCATAAAAACAGATCTTGCAAGGAACAGTTTCCGCTATTTCAGGGCCCCGCCAGATTGTATGGAATTCTCTTGACAGTTTATCTAGGCTATTAGATTAACTTGAGAAGTTCAAAACAAACCTAAAATGCAACAAGACTCAGTTCAGAAAAGTTAAATTTATTCCAGGAATCATTACTAATCTCAACAAAGATGTAGACAATTTCATTTATTACTAACTTATAAGTGGTATTTTAAATAAATATATTTTGTTGCTTTGTAAAGAAAAAATTTCATATAATAGCTAGGTTTAATTAACAATCTTGTACATATTTTTGCAAATATTTCTGAAAACATTTTTAATAGAAAGGTTCAATAAATAATTTTTAAATTTTTGTGCGAAAATTTATGTAAACAATTTTGATAGAAGGTTCAATTAATTATATTTATATTTTTGTGAGAAAATTTCTGTAAACCTTTTTAGTTAGGTTTCATTTATAACTTTTTATAGACAGTAGGTAGGTCCACATCAGCTTTTTTAGCTGCCACTTTTCGACCTACGTTAAAAAATAAAGTATGTATGTATGTATTTACTCGTTTCGTTCCCACGGAAGTCTCGTAAATTTGAGAAATCTTTATCACTCACTCAAGCGGTGCTGGTTTTCGACACCATTAAGACTGCAGACTACTCAGAAAAAAAAATTGTTGTTCGTTCCTATATCAACAAAATAAAGCGTTGCACTGTTTAAAGAGAGCAAGTTTCTAAAGAAACTGTGCTTCGTCGATGAGGGGTATAACAAAATAATAAGGCTTTATCAACTCTGTTGATAATGTAAATTGGCCACCGTTAAAAGTTTCTTGACCTGACGTTTCTCGTTTCGTTCCCACGAATGTTTCGTACTCCGTTGATTCGTATTGGTTGAATTAAATAAACAATGTCTATGTTGATTACATATGTCTTACAGAACGTTTGAATCAGATTGCATTTGCATTGAAATTTTACTATTGAAGGTTCGGTAACGTAAGTAATTACCCTGAACACCCTAACATCGGTATTCATATTCTCCATACTGTTCTCTGTACATTTACTGAGATGCTGATAGGGAGAATTTGTCTAACAATCAAGAGTTTCTTTAGTTTGTGATTGTTTCCTTTATTCTCTTGATATTAATATGTGATTTAGTGGTGATATTGCAAGGAGAAATTAGATGCTAGTCGCTCTTAGGAACAAACACCTAAAGGGTAGTTCGATCGATCGGTATCATCAGCACTTTTTAAAAACATGCCATTTAATTTGATGTTTTTGCGTGATAAAAATGGGCAGCATGACTCTTGATTTCGGGCGACCTGTCTCAGGTTTCCGACGACATGACTTCGGGCGAGACGACTCTCAAGCAACTTGTCAGTAAACCGCTGAGCGCACCAGCGAATGAATTAAACCACTTGTTCTTCAACCAGTCGTTAACCGTGCCTAAAAATTTAATATGCTTCCAGTTTGCAAAAGAGGTACCTTAAGATTTTACGGAGGGGAGGGGCTAACCACGCATCTTTGTGATATATAATCAAAAGACTATTGAGGCCACCATTTGATTACTTGTCTAATGTTTTAGTAGACTAAAGTAAATTCTCCGAAGCAGGTTAATAAGCAACCTGCTGGAGTAAACGCAGTCTTGTTGACCTTACATTAAGCTGGTTTTGTAAATGATGATTGCTGAAGGAGAGAGAAATCGTCTGAAAAAAGTGAACGTCGACAAGGGTCTGACAACTTGAATAACACATTAGTCCAGAAACCTTTTCTGCACGAGGAAAAGAAAATGGAATGAAAAACCCAAAAAGTCAGTTCAGCTAGAAACTCTTGGAATATTTATTGTGTATATACAAGCCTTTTACGCTAATACCATAATATCAAGTCTTTGCCTTAAATTAAAAATGTTTAATACCTTGTAGCAATTCTTGATGCAAACTAAATCGCATTCAGCTTTGTAACATTCAATAGTCTTTTCTAAGTATTTGATCTGTACACCAATGCCTCTCGAAATTAGTAAAGTCCTTGGCTTTGGTTTGTCCAAGATAACAAGTGTACTGTACATTTTCATTTTCTGCACTGGTTGAAGTTCAACAAAGCTAACATTAACTAATCACTCGGTTGCTCTCTCTCTTCGTTCTTGCCAATTATTAAGGGAAATATCCTTGGGGTACTTTCTTTCAGTGCGCTGTTGCGCTTTGCCCCTATTGACGGGGGCAGGAATGTCCGTGGGGTCTTTTTATTATGGGGTTTGTTGGGTGGGAAGTTCTTTGGGACGCACCATAATATATCTCACTCTCTCTCTACTCGCTCATACGCGATGGGCATATCCGCCCGCGCTTTTTACACTCAGGGTAAGTGTATGCGTGGCATTTTCATGAGGGGAGGGGAAGGTCAGGGAAGCTTGGACGGTTGTCTACGACTCCTCCATTGCCTGGAAGAGCATGTCTCGTCCACTGTAGGGATGGGGAATAACTCAAGTCTCCACTGAATCGTGTAACCCACTGTTTACAATTGGAAGCCTCCATGAGGCATGGCAACGCCAGCCCCAAATTGGTATTGGTCGGAATTCTGATCAATGCCTGGCATGATTTTATCGTCCTCGTCTTCGCCACTGAAATAGTACTCAATTATTTCGAACGCTTTTCTGTAGATTTCTTCATTGTCGTGACTTTGAAGGAATTCAATCTTGTCTAAGCCTATGGAAGAACGAAACATTTTCTCTGTCAAATTTGATTCAGCTATTGTAGTTTCCTGGGTCTGATGGTACACATTGTAGACGTACATCATGAACTACAATGTTTCTTCATCAGAAGCAGAAACAAATTCCTTACCGTATGCCTCCTCTACCATGACAGCGAACTGGTTGACACCATCTGTTTGAAGTGCATCCTGCTTTCCAATTCTGAGGATGTTCTCTAGTCCACTGAGTGCTACTTGAACTATCTTTGAATCCATAACAGTTAACAGGTCACAAAGAGGTCTAATTACGTCTTGACTCACAAGGTATCTGTCCAAGGAAAAAAAAAAACCTGCCTGTGTTATCATGAAAAACCTAGTCTAGCTGGACATAGTTAGATGTTGCATCGTCACCAAAACAAATCTACCCATGCTTATTACTGAGTGCCATTACATTTCTTATTACAAAGTTTGATACTTGAGGTCCGAATTTTTAGAGTGCCACTACCATTACCAGGGTCACTTAAAACAAATAAGTAATCAACAAGGACTTCAACTAAATTCAGTTGAACCAATCTGTGGGTCGGAAACAATACAATTTATCTAACAATCTCCAGAGGGCAATAAACAAAAGCAATTGCTAGTTTAAGTGAAAGATGTACAATAAATATCCTACACTTCATCATGGCAATATTCACCTCACCCTCCTAAATATATGCTTGCTAGAATAACTGTAATCACTATTAACTCACTTGATCTGCTCCGCTGTTCCTCCAGAGGTGGCATTGGTTATAGCCCATGCTGCTTCTTTTCTTGTTTTAAACTCTGCCTTGGCAAGGATCTCCACCAACATGGGAATAATGTTAGAATCAATCACAGCCTATTGAAAAAAGTAGGCATTAGAAAGCAAGGGTAATGATTAACATTATTAAGCTTAAATCCCAAACTAATTTATTGGAATTTTACATCTAATCGACATATTTTATTTACAAATGTAACAGATACACAAACAAATTTTTTAACAAACTTGCTTTAAACCACTGACAGTTCTTTTTAATGTTATTACTGATATTATCCTTTGTAATAATTGTGTAATTCTTTTTTTTTTTAAGTTGCAAAGTGATTAGAAATAAACCATTTATCCTACATCCTATATAATTTTTTGATCCTATTTAGCGCATCCAACCTTACCTGAATCTGTGCTCTATTACCAGCTGTGATGTTAGATATTGTCCAGCATGCCTCCTTTCTGATGCTTTCTCTTGAATTGCTTAATAGATGTAATAGACTTGGAAGAGCATTGCAGTTTAGGATGATCTGTTGCACCAAAACAGTAAAAAGACAAGTTACCACAGGTTCCGGTGTTTTTAGTTTTCAATCTGATTGGTTGAGGGAGTGGCACAATTTTTTTTTTAATATCAAACACTCTGCAATGGTGAGAAAAACTATCATAATGTTGAATTACTTTTAACACTTGTATGAAAATTGCTCTCATATGGCGCTTACTAGTATGAATAGGTAAAACACTAAAACCATGATTCCTAATACTGGATTGAGAAAAAAAAAAGAGACCCAAGCTCTACCTGAGTTTGTACATCATCACCAGTTACAATATTTCCCACTGCTCTGAGTGCTGCTGAAACAACATGACTAAGATTGTGCCTGCAACAAAGAAAAAAAATTAAATAAGACATGGAGATGTACACAAACCAAACCAGTTCAAACTATAGCACTGGCACAATATATGGACATTGTTTCTCATGGCACAGCTGCTTCCAGTCCGGGTTTTAAGACGATGACTAGCACACAAAAAAATCTGTGACCCAAATCAAAGAAATTCTTTTCAAAGACAAATGACAATACCTTATTGTTGTGAAATTATTTTTCAGTTAAACCAATTTCCTGGTTGTGTAGAACTCACTGGATTGTGCTGAGACATATGGTGAGACTTAAATATCATTCATAAATTGTGTTCATGATAAGACTGTTTTAAGTCTTACATTAATAGTTCTACTAATCTTCTGCAAACACCAGAATCTATGACTGCTTGAATCTTCTCATTCGGACCATCTGACAGATACGACAGTGCCCAGCATGAATCAGCGAGGACATCAGGATCATTGATAAAGAGAAGACGAGCTAGTACTGGCAAACATGCAGACACCTAGAATAAATACAATGAGTGTAGATCATTCTTTACATCATAAAAATTGTTTTTAATTGTAACACTTTCAAATAATTGTTCTAACCCTCATCTTTCCCTCTAATTATTATCACAGTAGTTATATCTGAAAGCATTTGATTCTAAATGCAGATGATGTGTTCTACCTTTAAGGCTGTCACCTTGACTGCATTGACATTTTTAAATGAGCAAACCCCATTCTCAAGTGTCATTCTTTGGCCATAATGAGAACAGATAAATGGTGAAGAACCCTGCACAAGGCTGCTGTTTACACTCTCCTTCGTGCCTCTCATGGGATGAACACTACTCCTCAGCTACATGCTAATTCCAAATGCAACTGTTTGCATCATTTCAATGGAAAGACAGCTTTCCAATAGATTTGACTAAAAATGCATCAGGAAACATCACATAGAATACCTTTGAGAAGTCAGGTGGTGGATTTTTTCCTCTACACAAATTGGACAAGGCCCAAACTAAGTTCTTTGTCATTGATATCCTTGGTGACTGCTTTAATAGCCTTCAAAAATAAAACAGTTGTAAGCAAACAATATAACCTTGACCACACTAAATAAAGAAATTGAGCACTTTATTCTTATTTGTTCAACCAAGACAGCTGGCTTTAAAAGGCAGCACTAGTTACAAAAATCTTAGAAACAACCACTCTCCTTAAATATCAGAAGAAGGTTAATGGTTTGAAATATCCTCCCTTAATTCAAACACTTAACAGAAGCATATTTCTCTCAAACATGCTATGGAAATGTAGCTTGAGAAATGAAAAAAAGTAGAGACAAAAACTATACAATAGATCCATCTGTTAACTTACTCCAGAACTGGCTGTAACATCCCTAAGTTAAGAACATAATCTCTGCACTCTGCACTATCTCCAGCTATGTTTCCAAGAGCCCAGACTGCCTAAAAGATCAATGATAAAAAGAAACCTTAAGACAAGACACCCTGCCACAACATCATTCTACAGATTTGGGAAAAAATTAAGTAACCTGGAATGAGGAGTGGCAATACTCTTGGCTTCTTTAGTCTAGGAAGCCAAGAAAAGAACATGCTTCTATGTAAGTTAAATTGCTCTGTTAAACTAAACTGACCTGCTCCTGAACATCTACATGTGGGGATTCAAGTAATGTAATGAACACAGGGACGGCCCCAGCTTGAACCACGCACTGGGTTTGTGGTGATGTCCCAGATGCAATATTTGTCAGTGCCCAAGCAGCTTCAAACTTTGAAATAAATTATTGAGAAAATTACTGAAAACAAGTCATAACCAATACAAGATGTACAATAACTAGAAGCATTGAGTAGGTCACAGATTTAACATTTACTTTGGACCTCAAGTCTGTTTTCCTTTCAACATAAACTGTATCAGCCCCTCTCAAACAATCATTCTGTTTGCCTGAAAACTGTTTTAGGGGAACAAAAATAGAGTAATTACTTGGTCTCTGGCTACAGAAAAATGAGAAATCCAGTCATTTGAGATTAAAACCAACTTGTTTCAGCCCTACCTATAACACACTCTATTCCAAAAAGGAAAACCCTGCCTTTAAAATATCCTACCTGTAACATGCTATTGTCATTTCGCTGCAAGAAGTAGATAAATCTAGGAATAACCTCACACCTAATTACATCATCAATTGGTGGGTGGGGTTCTGCAAGCAACAACAACAAAAAAGTTACATTAATAACAAAGTTAGCTGTAAATGTGGAAGCACTCTTTCCCCTGGAGCATAGCTCAGGAATATTGAGCACAATGGTTATGTACCATGTTTCAGCAAAGGCCACACAACAAAAATTTTAGGTTTCGTCATGTAAATTCATAGAACACTATTCAAACACCAACACAAAAGTATTGCTTTGAAAAAAAAAAATCTCTGGCAATTTTTTCTGCAGGGTTGAGTGGAAAATAGCAGGGAAGGTTAAAAAATCAGAATTCCTGTTTGGTGTTTGACTTGAATTCTGAAGTCCTGGTTAAGCTGATGCCAGACCTGAGATCAGAGGATTGGCCAAATAAGCATTATTTGAAAACAGTTGTGCATCTTGTTAAGCTGATTGATTGTTACAACAAATTAAGTTATTGTTGTCTAAATCACTGAGGTTTTTGTATCATGCCAAAGGGGGTTGTGTAAACATGGTCTACAGAGGTATGAATTTGTTTGAAAGGTAAGAATCTTTTCAACAGCAATCACAATAATAATAATAACAGAACATTAGTAAAAAAAATAATTACATTAATAACAAAAAACAATTTTACATGTCTTAGACAAGCATAAGCAAACACCAAACTTTGTGACATAAAACAAACCTTTTGATAAAAGTTTTCTGAATTTTTGCATAGCTGCTAACTGCTTCTCCTGTTCTTCTGAGTATAATGCTTCCACTACATCAGGTGAAAATACATCCTGACAAAAGAAAAAAACAATTGACAGTGTCTCATTTTACTACTAGTCACTTGCTTAGCAATGAGACTAAAATTTGAGTGCTCATGACTAGAATATCACATCTACTTGACTGTTCAAAACTTAAAGTTTTAAGCATGCTTTGTCATACAACACATACAAGAACTGAACTATTAATACAAAGTTTTGCACTGCTTTTTGCATTGATTGTTAATACCAAATAAGAATGAAAGTCAATTTGCTTGCTTTAAAGTGACTAGTTTTAGTCCATGCATTATTTTTGGAACAGAATTAAGCCTTCCTGTAATGTTACAACCCCAAAAATTTGGGCTGGTTGTAAACTGAGAAAATTTGATTTGGATCACACAATACAAGAGTGGCCCCAAGCAATCCCTATATTCCTATATGAAGGCTGATAAAATTTCAAAGGGCTGGTAGGCTTCAAAACCCACTGTTTCTGACAGAGAGGATGCAGCCCAAATGTCACCTTCTAAAGGATAGAAGTGCATGAGTTTATTTCAAGGCATGGTCACTTTAAATGATGTCCATAATTCAAGTGGAACCAACTAATGCGTAAAAAAAGTATCCAGCGAAAGACGAGAAGTAATTGAATTACTAGAATCGTATAAGCTACCAACAAATTTAATACTTGATGTCGAAAACATTAAAAAAAATCATTTGAGAAATGATAACATTTGGGCTATGAATGTAACACCACAAAGACGAATCACACGGAAAAAAAAACTTCTTCATTGATGACGTGCACTGATTTATAATTTCAATTAAATAAACGCGATGTAAAAGGAAATGCACGAAAATGAGCATGGTTCCGTTTTAAGAACATCACTCATTTTAGTTCATAGACAAAATAGAAAACAGCAAATATTTATGGAACATGATGTATGTTTGTAACTCACATGAGCTTAAAGTTTCCGGATTTAAGGAGACCGGGAACGATAATTGTTGCGGAGCTCATATATAAGCACGAATATGACAAGTGACTTTGTAACATAGTTTTAAAGCATTTAAAACAAATAAGTTCAGCAAATAATAATGTCAATACAATCAAATGACTAAATAAAGGAATTCTTCTTCACCAAGCACTAAACAAGGTCTTCATTAAGTTTTTGCGAATGTATTGCGACACACATAGTAGGCTTTCCCTACCTGACCAACGTGGTTAGTGGTGAGAAGACTCTCCAGTTCACCAGGCTGCGTAGACGATTTTCCTGTCACATCAACATTTCTTCTTTTAAACATCTACAAGGAAACACACGAGGCCGTGACGGTAACAATTGAAGAATCCAGAGACAATGTTTGAAAAACATCAATCGAAAATTTACGTACAAACACGCTGCAATTTTGTACATATTTTCTTACTTGTTCTTCCCGTTTGGCCTTACGGAGTTGTACTCCTTCTTCTTCTCGCCTTCGCCTCATCTCTGCAGTATCTAAAGCTTTGTTCTTGTAGGATTTCAATCGTGCATTCGCCCGAGTCGCCATTTTTAAGACGGGTCGAGGGAAAGCACAAAATCTTACAATGAAACGAGGAAGGTAGACCGCGAAATTGAAAATATCTCGCGAGGTTTTTTCGGCTCTTGTTCTGGGTGGCGTGCTTCCACCTGAAAATGTGCGCCTGCGCAGCATCAACATGCTGGTGTCCAGCCTCCACACTCGAGCGATGTGTGTCACCAATTTATTCACGGCATTATAGAAGACCGCGAATATACTAATATGCCGAAAAAAAATTTTCTGGTTCTAAATTAGAAATTTTTGCAGGGAGCCAATTTTTTTGGTTTACTTTATTGAGAGGGAAAGAGATGTCTCCAAGTAAATCAGTTGCGAAATCGAGTTGTTACAGCCCACCGCTTGATAGTGAAACTTCATAATGTTTCCGTCTGATATTCATCACCTTAGACCAAAAATTTACGTCAAGAGGAGCTCTATATTCAACTAAGAACAAGTCTTTTTGATAAAGATTAGTTTTTGCGGAATTTTTTTTTTTTTAATCTGCGGTAATTAAAATCCGCAAAATTTTCATGCTAGTCAGTAAAAGCAAATTTATGTAAGAGGCGATAAGTGTGTATGTACAAGAGATGATTTTGAGATTGTGATGCAAAATTTGTTTCAAGATCTGAAAGCTGCCTGGTGAGTCATCCCGGAGTTATAAGAGACTGAAAACAGAGAAAGGCTGCTACGAATACCTCCTTATCTTGAAAAGACATGAATCTCCGTGGAGATCTTAGGAAACTAGAAAAATCCTTCAAATAGGTAACCAAACTGATGGCGGACCCACATTTGCTGCATCAGCTGCATGAGTCTGGAGCGATGTACCCTTATCTACTACAGAAGTAGATTTTGCAGCCAGTTTTAATGATAACACGTGGAGTAGGATTTTTAGGGACCAACACTTTTTGTATCATTTTAATATTTTGGTTAGTGCCTTATATTTACATAAAGTGATTTTTCTATGATCCTATTTAAGTCGTTATAAATTCTCGTGTTTTTTAGCCGATCGAGCTAACCTGTGTGTTTTTATTTATTCATAATGCAAAATGTTTGTTGATTTCTATAACTTGTAATTAATAGATTTACTCAAGCCCACAAATATATTTGCCCGTGGCTATTACGTACTACCCGTCTACATATAGTCAGTTTCCTTTAAGTGGCTCCGAGAATATGCAGCTTTAGACCACACATACCTAACTAACCATCCAGAAAATGTAAACGTATTTTCAGTCATAACGGGCGTTTTTCTTGGCTGGAAAATTCATCTGAAAAGCGACAATCAGAAATACATCGCGGTTCGTAAACTATTCTCTATTAAGTGGCCAAGTTGTCCGAATTAATTAGAGATTGCAATAGTCTCGCTAACAACTGTACTCGGTGTGAGAGATCGATTAGAACTGTTTACTGTGAATTTTCATTGGCTCCTTGTGATTTTCATCTGTGTCCGAAATATTCGAATGCAGAATGGTCGTTGTGCTCACCCAACTCTGGAATTTCGGCATTTAATCGAAGAACAATGTGAGAATCGAACATAAACACACAGCTGATCTTTTATGTTAACCCTTTTACTCCCAAGATCTCATTAGCAATTCTCCTTACTGTCTGCAATACAGTTTTCATGTTGTCAGTATGGAGAATTTGGTATTGGATCAGCTAACAATCCTTTGATTGATATTTTTCTTTATTCTCATCACCTGTCTGCTCGATATTGTATTTTTATTGTAAGGAGAAATTTTGTCTTGGTCACTCATGGGAGTTAAAGGGTTAAATCCTTTACATCCCTGAAGAGGTGAGCACCTCTTCCAAAATTGTCGCCCCTGAATTAAATATTAAGTTCATGAGAATGGAGGATATGATCCCGGACTCAAAAAGCTCTTGATTATCAGAAATATTCTCCTTTCAGTATCATAGGAAATGTAAAGAAGACATTATGGAGAATTTGCATACTGATGTTAACGTGTAAAGGGTTTATGGAGACTTCTTTACACGAGCTTCAAAAGCTCGACTTACATTGTAAGAAACGGTAACGTGGTCAGAAAAAACCCAGCAAAAAACACGAATGAGTTCGTTTCGGTATCTAATGTTTTATTTTCCTCATAATATTGGCAAGCGAGCCCCGCCGAAGGGCAGGGCTACAAAAAATCATTATATAGACTCATTCAGTTGTTTTCCTCCACGGAAATCTTTAGTAAAAGGCGAAAGATTTGTACGATTTGAAGGAAAACCAGAGTGAAGACTTTTAAGGCGGGCCGCCACTATCTAAAAGGCTTGCTAAGACAATACATTTGGGAACAAAAAAAAAATTAATAGGACATCTTTGTTCGCGCATGCTTATCTAATACGGGAAAACCATAAGGCTTACCCTACTTTCATCACATCCTTTGTCAAAGGAAATCCATACACACAATGTGCACAATGGAGGGGGGGGGGGGGGTGACATTCCATCAAGGTTTATCGGTTCAACGGTTTTGCGTGAAGCGCTTGTCCATAAATCCGAGCGGAAAAAAACGATGTTCCGTAATTTACAGTACGGACTGAGAAAACAAGGTTTGAACAATATTTGTTCTATCTCAGAGTATAACTTGAGGGGAAAGATTTTAATTCAAATAAACGTTTGAATTTAGAGAGCCTGGCAGTAAAATACGGTCAGCTGAATTGACCAATCATAGCGCACGGACTAACTAAGAGATATGATGTAGGTGTTTCCAAAGCACGCGCTATTAAAGTTCTGGCCCCGGTTGTTCGAAAGTCGCCGGATAACACTGTCCACTGGATAAATCTCAATCATGTGGATAACGCTATACGTTTTGCTAGCACGTATCCGCTAGATAGCGATTTATCCGTTGGATAGCGTTATCCGCTATCCATTTATGCTAATGAGCCCAGATAAATGGCGGAGCGATACCAAACAGTTTCCCTCTTTGTGACGTAATTTCATAGCATTTTGAATTGCCAAAAGTCAACACAAGGGCTGAATAGCGTGGACACGGTAACACGCTTAATTCATGTATCATGTCGGTCTCTCTCGATCACGTTATGACAGTTCTACCGTTACGCAAACCACACACTAAACTCTGGGCCAAGAGGAGGGCGGATCTTACAGATGGAAGAGAAAGTCAAATAAAAGACGTTTTAGCCAAGATCGAAGATGTGGACGACCGCAAAACTTATTTATTGCCATCACCAGGATACACTAAAGGAGGAAATGAAAACCGGCCGCTCGTGAGCTGTCTGAAGGGTTATGTAAGAGAATCTCCGGGTATGTAAGTAGAGTCTTAAGTTTATGCCAGCGTGATCACCCTGTCCAGATGAAAGTTTTGTTTGAAAACTAGCATCCCTATAGATACTAAGGTAGGATGGTGAGTGCTCTCTCAATTCAAGCCGCCACAAAAGTGTTGTCAAACGTGTCCTCCAATTATTTGCGAATCGGCCTGTCTAGAGAATTCTTGCTCTATCGCTTTGCCCCTGACAGCCTATAGCTTGCTGTGGGCCACATATTTCATCGAATATGTTTCGAACGTTAAGAGCATCTCGGTAGCTGATTCCAATCAATGGACTTCTTCCTTAAATGCTCTTGATATTCATTATATGAATCATGTCACTTTGTTGCCTCTTAGAGGCCTCCTTGAGGGAAGAAAGTCTTCCCCTCCCCCAGGTCTTGAGGGTCCTTCGCCTATGGTCAGGGGTGCCTTGTTTTGGCGATGTAACGTAGTGGTTGTGGGACGCCTTATGCAGCCTGCGGGGTGTGACTAGTTGCTATGAAGAGGGAAAATAGCACCGACTTTTTTGCGCTGAAACATAGAGGATCATCAGAAAGTAGGTTAAGCTACACTCAAGAGACGTTGGAAAGAATGTCAGGCTCTGTACCTAACTCCTTCTTTCGAGTAACGAAAAGCACCTACTGTGTTAGTTTCGTGAAAAGAAACTTGGTTTGGTTGCGAAATAAATCGCAATTTTTTTCTTCGCGCGCCTAATAAGCGAGAATGCACACGTCTCAGCGTCTCCACCCAAAAGCTCTTGAACGGTATTAAACCATATCAGCGTTTACGTTTACATGGCAACTAGGACTGGCAACTCAGTGATTAAATTTAAGGAAGTTCTGATGACGTTTCATTTGTTTCTGGTAGATCCATAGCTGAAAGACATCACAGTTGACGGTATACAATTCAGATGAAGATTTTAAGAAGTTCTTTTTTCTTTCAGGCCTTGTTAGAGCTTTGGAGGTGTACAGTTCGAATAACGCGGCCACTGCAAAATGGCGCTCGGGTCTGCAACCATTAAGTGTTTACCAGCAAAGCCAGTTGGAAAAATCTGTCCGAGATTATACACGACTGTACAGCGTGCAGCACTCTCCACCCTACACAACTTTAACTGTTCGCTGGCGAAACCACGGAGAAGAAAACTGTTATACAGTGGAATCTCTTCAAAAAATTTTCAGCCACTTTGGTCCGATAAGAAAGATCAGTTTTCGGAGTGATTGTAGCGCTCATGTCGTATTTGAAAATGCGGAGAATGCATGCTCAGCTCTCAGCCTATCAAATTTAGGCTTTCCAAGGTGTCCTCTGCATGTTCGCTGGCTACCAGAGGAAAAGAAGAGGCTGCTTTGGAGAAGAAAAGATGCTATTCCTAAGCCAATGAAATTAAAGGGTACTGTAATCAATGGAAGAAAGACTGGAAGTCTTAAAGAGTCACCCAAATGGGGGATTAGAAAGTCGCCCCAGGCTCTGACACGCCACAGTCAAATTTGCTGCACCGTTCATACCAATTCACGCAGTAAGGCACCATAACTTTTGATAACTTTTGTTTGAAATGTGGACCTAAACTACTCTAATTGCTATTTTAAGGGTTTATCAGCTAATTCTGAGTAATAAAAACCTATCCAGCTAAAAATCTTAGAAAAAAATAAGTACAAAACGTCCCCTCTTGAAGCGTTTATTTTATCACATCTTCTCCACAAATAAAATAAATTGTATTGCTTTAGTTTTCAACTATAGAAATACAACTATTTCCAAAAATAGGATTTCAACAATAAATAGATGTCTATGTTCTTGTTAAATTTAATTACACTCTCGCACTGTTGAAGTTATTTTCATAAATAAATAGACATTTTCCAGCACTTGCACTTTTGGAATAAAATCTTGGGCATAAGCCCCTGTCTTGAGTTACTCTTTTTAAAGTTCCATAATATCGTTTGTGAGCATTCAAACGAAAGCCATTTAGCCATAATTTCATGCAATTCCGTTTGTTGCGCCATATCATCCTAATCAAATGTGTCATCAGAGAAAAAAAAACAACTTGAATAGCTCAGGGTTCAGCAAAAAAAGGACATTTTTCAGTCTCATGAACTTTATGAGTCACTTTTACCATTTTTTTTTCATGGTTTACAAAGCTAATCTGTAAACCAATCAGAAACGGATCACTTCAAAAGCTATAACTATAGAGCCTATGGTTTTATCAATCCCTTTGCATATTGTAGTCTATTTAACTTTGTTGACTTCAAAACCTTCCTCCTTATCTTATTTGGAATTTTTACCTATGTTGGAGTTTTTAGGAACTTGCCCGCACATCAAACAGTAACCACAATAAAGGAATCTTCTACCTCAAGTAACACAAGAAAACTGCTACTAGATTTGCAAGATGTTTGCTTGTGATTAATTGCTTATAAATTTGTTCCACATGACAACTTGCAAACTTACTTCTTTATCTCACGGTACTCTAAGAGAGTCTAAGGTTTTACTTTGTTCCATTTCTGGGGGGTCCATAATCCCCTCTACATACACGATCTGGTACTGCTTACACCTCATCTGCTTCAGTGACCGTCGTAAGTGCCGCAAGCCAGAACTGCTACTCTTAATGTCTTCCAAGAGGCTCTGCATCTGTTTGGCCGAGTGAGAGGGATCAAACAACAGGAGGTAGAGACCACCATCCTTACCAGAATGCTCCTCAACTCCAATCACCAGCCGACTATGGCCTGTTGGACAAAAAGTAGAGAAATATGTCCTAGGAGCCTGACTCATCACTGTCAGAGCTTGTCTCTATCTTTGGAGCATGAAGTGACACAGTGTATTGCTACCCCTCTTAGGTGGGATACCTGTCAATCGTAGGTAACAACTAACCATACTGTTCTCTACATATTTCCTAAGGTGCTGACAAGGAGAATTTGATTAACTATCAAAAGCTACTTCAGTTAGTGATCATTTCTTTTATTCTCGTGACCTTAAGGGGTGACTCGGGGATGGTATTGTAAGGAGAAATTAGATGTTAGTCACACTAAGTGGTTCAAGGGTCAAACCTCTTGAGCAGAGAGAGGTGCTGTGAAAAATTTAGTTCTGGTCACTGAGAGTAAATGGCTTAATTCATGAAATGAATCAAATCACAAGCCAGCAAAGGTTACAAACCTTGATGCTGAAGGTAAAGTGGAGGAATCGAGGTTTGTCTGAGAACTGAGGAACCCACTGGGACTGCTGCAGAGCTTATGTTACAGCTAAAGTAACGCTTTATCCATGAAAACATTTCAGGATGCGTGCCATCACAACCAGTGGCTTGGTGGAAGTCAAGAATCTTGGCTCTGCAAAAAACATTAAAGTATGAAATACTGATTAAAGTGCTGGAAAACATGACAAAGGAGCTATGTCAGGGTTTGAACATCTGCCATTAAGTTTATCCATCCATAGCCAGCCTTGACCATTACCAATTTGCCATTTAGCTCTTACTCTTGTTCTACTTTTCAACACTCTCATTTTCCTGGAGGTCTAACCCTCTCACACCCAGATGTGACTAAAAAGGAGGAAGGTGGGGGTAATAGAGAGGGGCTTGTTCGAGTGAGGGGGCTTATCAGAGAGGGGCTTGTTAGAGAGGAGGTTTATTAGAGAGGGGGCTTATTAGAGAGGGGGCTTTTAAGAGATAGGGCTTATCAGGGAGGGGGCTTATTAGAGATGGGACATAATAGAAGCTTGAAGCTTTAGGAGGGAGGCTTGTGAGAAAGGGGGTCTTATCAGGGCATTTCTGGTGAGAGCTGATCATGAGCATCTAAGATAAAGGGAACTCAAACCAGTGAAGGACTCTGGTGCCTGTACCTTATCTGAAGTGATCTCAAGACTGTTGCTATCTCTGTGGCTCCAATCCACTTTCTGGTATTGATCAATTTACATCCAAGCTGTTCAGAACCCTGCCTGTCAAATCCTTTAAGGTAAATTTACAGCAAAAAGAAATGATTAGTTTTTACTAATAGGTATTTCTCCTAAGTGCAGCAATTGGTCCTGACAAGTAACTAGGGCAAAAAATTTGCTGCCTTTCATACAGAAAGTACTTGAGATGATTGTGATTTTTAAACTTATTGGGCCAGTTCTTCAAATGAGGTCCAACCCAAACTGCTGTTTTATGCAAGCAATGGACCTCTGGGATTTTTTTATAAAAAGATTGATTTAATTATTTAAATAAATGTCCATCCACTATTAGCTTTTGGTGCTCTTGACACTGTTCACAAAAAAAATGTTCAGATGAAAGGTTCTGCTAAATTGAAGATGGCTTAGAATGTGGGTTTGTTAAACAACGGCTAAACTTTGTTTTAATAACCAGCCCATTGACTTTGACAACAATTCATTTCCTTATTCTGATAGAAAATATAAATCATTACACAAGATGTTGACTAATATTTTAAAATACACAATACTACTGTTTACTTAACTAAGACAATAGCATGTGGAATTTTCCAGTGTTTTCTTGAAAATACTTGTTTTCTGAAGATTTAAAAGCATTCACTAACAGTTTCCTCTTACCACTTGTCCAGGCAGCCTCTATAAACTGTTGAATTCTGGGTATAGATGGTACCTTCTCACCGACTGATCACACAAAGAAATGAAACTTATTATAAATTAGTTTCCTAGTTGCGTGATCAAAACTTAACTAGCAGGCTCTTCCAAAAGGTGGACACCCTGAGCAAATGGACATTCATGTATCTAAATCCACTTTCAAAGATTGTCTATATTGTAGAAAGATTATCATTAGGTTAAAAACAAAAACCAAAAAACAAAAAAGGAATGCAAGAAGCAGCAGTCAACCATGAATTCAAGAAACAACAACTGCATTGCAAAAATGAACATTGGGATCAAAGTCTTACACAAGATAATCACTCTCACTGGTAAGTTGATTGCAAATAAACTTTTTATTTCAAAATGTTAAGCTGCACAATGAGAAAAATTTGCAGCTAGTGATGCATAACTTGTTTAGAACCCCTAAGCTTATAATTCAATCTCATGAAAATTCAACTCTTTCGTCAAGCTACCAAACAAATACTTGTCAAAGTTTTCTATGCCAAAAAAATTCTCTTACCCATGAACTTAAACCCAAAAAATCTTAAGCATCTCCTGATTACTTTTAAACTAGGGTTAGAACCCCCTTAGCCTCTGAACTTCATTTCTTATCCTATGAATGTAGATCATATTGAAGAAAAATTAAAGTTTTTAAAATGATGCACTCACCACTGTACATAACTGGTCTATAGGTATCCATTTTTAGCAATGCAGAAATCAGCATTTGTAAATTTCTATAGCCACACCCCCAGCCTGCATCACCCACAGTGCTAGCGTAATGATCTGTATCTAAAGCTAGCCATGCAGCTTTGGTGCCACTGACCCCCATATCATATCGATGATGAAGTTGAGGAATTATGCCTTTAAACAAAAGTAAACACTTCCAGTTAATATCACAACTTTCTATGATTTGGATTAATCCATAGTGGCTTCAGTAAGAAATAATGAACAATGTTTTAAATTGCTATCAATGGCTTCATTGATTTGAATAACAAACTGCTACCTAAAGAGTGTTAATTCTATTGATTGTATTTGCACTTTCTATGGAACAAAGTTTGGCAAAATGGAAGTCAAAGAAAGTCAAGAAAATCTCTCTGAGATATTCAGAACCAAAGATAATAAGTTGATACCAGCAACTTATGGGACAAAAAGACAAAATCTCACTGTTACCTCTGGTGCATGATTCTCCACTATCATTATCTGTCATTAGAATTTTTAACATTTCTGCTTTCCTGGCATAGTAATCACCCACAGATGCTTTATTCCTGGTCACATCCCTCTCAAGGGCACGACTGTACTGAGTAACATAACCTCCAGAGGAAGTCATACCATACATGGACTTTCAATACAAGAGGTAAGAGAAAAAGACAAAATTATTCATTTGATAAGATATTGCAAAAAAAATAGATTCAACGGTAAACTGATTCTGCAGATTTCACTTTTCTATTAATTTGAACCATAATTGTAAATTTTCAATCCAACTGGGAAAAAAGACAAGGCATGCTCGTTGGAAGCCAATGGCTGGCTTGGTAGTCAGTGCATGAGACTTGAAACAGAGGAACTAGTTTTTGAACCTAAGATGGAATCATGATGTTGCGTTCTTGTGCAAGTCACATCATGCACACCATGCCTCCCCCCACACATTTAACTTATCCTCAATGGGATGCTAAGCCATCACCCACGGTCACACCTTAGTACCAGCCGCGCAACAGGGAACAATCCAAACAAGGCCCATATAGCTCATATTGGTTAAAACAGGCAGAATACAAAGAGGACATAATTTCAATAAACTGGGGGTTCTGTCAGAATGAATATTAATGCTTTTATGTCTGGGTACAAAGTAAACACAGTCTGCTTGCTGAAGTGCATGCAGCCCATTTACAGATGTAACAAACCAATGCCTGATAATGGCGTGGAGCACAACCCAGTTACCCTGCTTGGGAATGAAATCTGTCCACTTTTAGTCCAGTACCCTGACCTTTAAGTCACTGTATTTCTCAATGAAAAAAATGGGAGGCTGAGAGCACTTTATCAAATCAATAACATTTGTTAAAACCTGAAGCTTCTTTAGCTCCTCATCCTCTTGAAGTTTTTGTTCCTCCTGTTCTCTTCTTTGTTCACTTTCCAGTGCCTGAGCCAACAAGTGATCATCCCACTCACATGGCTGGTTCTCAAGTCGTTCCATTTCCTTAAGACCGAGAACCAAAATAAACAATAGCCTATTTTAAGTACAAAAACTGTGAAAAAATCTATTTTCCCTCTTTAATAAAGGTGCTACTACAGAGAATCAGCATTTGATCTAACATCAAAAAGTACAGTCTGTCCTGGAGAGGAGCATCAAGTGTACAACTTAAACTTTTACTACAGTCAATATGAAGCTTTTTTTACTATCTAATCACTTGTGATAAAAGAATGATGGTTTACAGTGTTTGTAATTTGAGCCTGTACTTTTGAGCATAATAGATTTACAACAAGCAAATCAAGGAAAAAATATTAGTACCTAACCCTAGCAAAGTAACTAAAATGGAATCCTTTCAACTCTGTCACTCCCAAAACATTATTTTAATCAGTAATTTTCCCAACTGTCTGCCGTACAAGGTTTCAAGCAATACTGAAAATTTTGAAGGGGTATCAGTGATCCCAGGGAGGAAAATTACCCAGCAGGAATGATATGTATCTACCTTACCTGTTTTTCAAGTTCCTGAGCCAGAGCAGTGTCACTCTGTGTGTAAATCACAGGTACTTCATACTGTTCCTGTGGCTGAAATGTTACCCCTAGCAGACTGTTTGTAGTAGCGTCATTTATGGCTTGATCTTCTAATGAGTGTGCAAACATGTGATCATCCCACTCTGGCGCAGAAACTAAGAATATAGAATAATTAAGAGAGTGAAGATGTCATATTTTAAGACAGAAAACAATAGCCGTGACAATAATGATGATGATATACTATAGAGTGTGTTTGAAATGGTTCTATCCCAAAAATTAGACTGCATCAAAGACAAACTTTATGATGTATATTGATTATATCTCTATCTCATTCTCTCATTATCTTATCCTATACATTATTTAGTAATGGAAGAAAGTTTGAGTAACAAATTATACAAAAAAACCCTTTTTTTAAGATTGGAAACAATATTTTTGCTGGTACTTCTTAGAAAATAATAATATTGGAATAACAAGAGAATGAAAAGCAGATTTTTTTTTAGTCATTTTGTAGTAGCACTTTATCTTTTTAATAATATTTTCATCAAAGAATTGCTTTATTTTAAGGTACATCTAGATGTTTCCAAATATTTATGCACTTCAAAAATTCATCATTGAGACACTTATTAATATTTGTATTATATTGTTTACAATAGCTTGTTTTCTAATGACCATTTTATAAAGCTGCTTATATTTAAAAAGGGGGTAAGTTTCTAAAGAAACTGTGATACTGCGTTGATGGTGATTTTACAGGAAAATTTGGTTTTATTAATTGGGTTGATAGTGTGAATTGACCACTCCCAAGAGTTTTAAGAACTTAGAAACTCTCTATGGTAGCCAATTTACTTAATCAAATCGCAGGATGAAACCAAATTGTCTTGTTTATGTTTTTGTTCTTTGCAGCAGACTTGAAATCAAGATATTTTCTGCAAAGTACTTCTTTCAATTTCAAAGCTTACATGGTATGTATTCTGTGGCAGTGACAACAGATTGTCCCTCTAAGCAAGACTGCTTGGCTCTGCCATCTATAGGAGTTGATAAAACATTTGAACTTTGGTTGATTAACAATTGAAGTAATACTGATTTTTTAAATTTTTCAAATTCTAATTTATGATATCAGTTCTAATGTCTAGTCAAAACCTGTCATTAACGGTGATTGAAATAACATCATTAGCTGATGTTTGCTAATTATTTGTCTTAATTGAGTTTAATTTACTTGTTTGACTTTCTAATCATCTTGTTTAAAATCAATTAAACAGATCTCACGAGTTTAACTTAAACGTGACAATTCAAACTTTCCTTTAACGAAATACGTGTTTAAACGTATAGAATTGAATGTAAAACTCGCACAGGATACCGTGGATTAATATATTTATAGGAAACCATTTTATGATTTTAAAAAACGTTTTTCTCCGTCACTCATGACAGGAATAAAATAGTTTAAATTTAACTAACCTATCTGTTGACATCTTCCGTAATTACATTCCCGAAAATCGACTGTATCCGAGAATCCCGGAACTGAAATCAAACAAAAACAAACCTTATTGTATTTACTTCCCACATACCTGCTAGAGGCTTTTAAAATACTTTTCACTATTGAAAATCGCGCTTCGAAAATGCTCATCTCACCTAAATCATCGAATCGATTCGCCTCAGACGATGTGGAGGGTTGTGTAAAATGTTCCTCTACATGAATACCGATGTTCTCTTTTGAAACAGATGTACCACAAACAGGACAAATCGACAAGGAGGGAGGAAGGTCGATGTCATGTCGATATAATTCTTCACGCCGTCTTTTCATATCAACTGGTGCAAGACCTGGATCACGAAGACATCACCGCAAGCATATCAAAATCATGCTTTCGGTTTGAGAGGAGTTTCAAAGATAGCAAAAAAAATTGAAACACCTCTGATCCCAACGACTTTCCTGGTGATCACGATTTGCCACCAGTCGAAAGTCACCAGGCGTTGCGATCAAGCTTGAACGCCAAAAAGAGGCAAATCCTTGAAACTCAGTTGTGTCACGTTCCATCCAGACAAATTAGATTGCGTTACTGTTAAGAGTTTGACAGCGGTGATTTGTCTTCATCGAGCCGGTAACGATATTTCTTTGGGGATATTCAGATGACTAACTTTTTTTCTTTTCCACTCGTTGCCCTCAAAAATCGAAAATTCTCTGAAAAATGGTAATTTGCCAGTGATCTAAAGTTTACTGGAAAATAAGTGGGATAGCCCCCAAAAAGGTAGTTTAAAAAGCGGCCAGGAGCCCATGGCCTCCTGAAGCGGCACAATCGCCACAAAAAATATTTAAAACTTAATCGAGTAATCGAAATACCCTTCTTGCTTTCGTTTGTCTGCTGCTACTTTGTTTGTTTTTTTTGGAAAGAGAACCGAAATTGATGACGACAATTATTCTAACAACCTTAACAAAAATTAAAAACAACAGTCTGTGTAAATTTATCATAGTGTTAAGTAGATAGCAGGTCCACATCAGCAATAGCTGCCATCTATTCAACCTGCTTTACCAAATAAAGGATGTATTTACGTACGTATGTCTAAAGGAAGCCGCTTGTTTGATGAACAGGCTAACTAGCTCTCTTTCCTCTAATTCTACGTTCAGGCCATGCGAATTTCCCGAAATTTAATATCTCAGCTCTACAAATTTACAAATATGAAATAAGAAAGGAATAATTTGCCTATGAAGAGCGGTTCTGGAGCGGACGATGAGAGAGTAAATATTTTTCCTCTTCAGAGCTGCTTGATCTTTCATCAAAGGACCTTTACCGCCTGAAGAATATCAATGGGACAATTCTTCTTTTTCCGATTTCTTTCTTTCATTCTTTCTCTCTCTCTTTCTTTCTTTCTTTCTTTCTTTCTTTTGTTTTTGTCCTTTCTTTCTTCTGTTTCTTCTGTTGAACGCGCCTTTGATGGGCACCGCTTTACGCTAGGTCTTTGTTCATGGGGGAGGAGATACATAGGACCTTTATTAATGTATACTTCTGAGCCCAGGTGAAAGACAAAAGGAGCATTTCATCATCATCCGGGACATCGGCGTTGGTTCTTCAGCTTCCTCGTGAACCTCCATTTTGCTGAATCTCGTTGGACTTTTTCCTTACTTGTGGTGGCTCAATATGTCTCGTGGTGGCACACGAGTTTACTTCGGAAGACTTCCTAGAGACACAAGAGAAAGAGATTTGGAACGATTCGTTCGGGGATTCGGAAGGATACGGGAAGTCAGCATTAAACTTGGATACGGTTTTGTGGTAAGCTAAGTCCACGAGGAAAACTTATTGCGAAACTTTGTGGAATTTTCTAGCTTTGTTCGATCGCTAGGTGCAACATGTTCGTAATTTATACTTATTGTTTGCTTTCCTTAGGAATTTGATGATTCAAGAGACGCCGATGACTGCGTTTATGACTTGAATGGAAGGGAACTGTTAGGTGAAAGGTAAGCTTTTCAACTCTTTTACTCTTAAATTGAAGTTAGAAATGCGATCCTCTCGGCCGCTTTGGCTTAAAACAAGAAAGCTGCAGTAATTAATGTTGTTTTGAATGTAACCTGTGTAGTATAGTGATAAAGGTTTAACTTTTGCCTACTGGTTAACCTTGAATTATTAGACCTGCTTAATTTTACGAAGTACACTCTATAAAGTTGGCTTATCGCCTTCTTCCTCTTCGTTCTAACGCAGAGTCGTCGTGGAACATGCAAGAAATCCTTCCAGAAGCCAAGACTATGGTTATAGAAGCCAACCTAGGTGAGTAATCTAGCACAGAAATTTCAAAACAAACATAACGTGTGACAAAGTCATCGACATGCTGTTATACTGAACATCATTTTCTCCCTGCGTCGGCTCAATTTCATACGACCTCCCTCCCCATACTTACTTAGTACTACTTTGTAACATAACATTTCATACTTAGTCACTCTTACTTTTAAATTAAACGAAAAACTATTAATGAGTACATGTATGTTTTCCACACTAACACTGAGTTATTCTGAATGTGTTCTCGTCCCCCGATTAAACTTGATTGCTTGTATCTTCCTCTGTTGTTTGAAATGTATGTCTTGCACAGAGATACATGTTGTGAATATCATTATCTACAGTCAGTCTGTAAAGTATCTCTTTGCCTATTATTTCAATGTCACCACCTCAAGCAGCAGCAGGAGCAGTCAGAGACGGGGCCGCACACCACCTCTCAGAACTGAACACAGACTTGCAGTGGAAAATCTTTCTTCACGGATTAACTGGCAGGTTTGTGCAACTTGATGTTTGCAATTTGTCCTGTCTCCATACCATCAAAGTTCAGAATTTTTACATTTACTAGTTTTTTTGTGGCTACTCTCTCCTATAGGAGGCAAATCCACGTATGTTATTGAGATGAGGACGTGTAATGATAGAATTCCAATCTTGCCTGGTTTTTACCTGATGTTTCCTAGTGCTACTAATTATTTGTTTTGAAGTGTCAAAGTAGTCTAACATTCGCACTCAATACACAGATGAGTTCTCTCCTTTTGTGATTTTTTGATGGCTTACAGATACTGGCACACTATGTTTTTAGTTCATGCCATGACACTACAGAAAACAGCAGAAGGTGAAAAATACCTCAATTATTTCAAGATTCACACAGTTAAAAACATAAGTTTTCCTTGCAGAAATATGATTGGCACATCATAAAACTTAGAGTAAAAATTTTTCTTCAAAGAAAGAACATTTTGTTGTTTAAATCAGCAAATTATGTAGATCTTAAGATACAATCTTTTTAGTTCTTAGCACAACACTATTAACACTATTTAAGATGAACAACCCAAAATTAGTTCACAGGGGCATCCATTGACGCATAATTTAAATGAAAACTTTTCCTCAGAAATTTCTCAATAGATGTGATCTGCATATCATGGAAGCTTTGAGGAATTTTTTTTCTTTGAAAAGAGGGTATTGTACTGTTTGAATCAGTAACGTATTCTAAAAGGGCCACTAAATTGGTGAAGCAAGCAAGCTGCAAAATATAATACCTTGAGTTATGTGAAAGACTGATGGAATGGAGGAACAGTGGATTAGCAGAACTGCAGGATTATATTCAGACACATAATGATGGAATATCCAAAAATGCAGAATGCTTTTTTGTATAAAGCAAAAGACTCAAAAAATGGAATGGCAATAAAATAAGAAAATTATTTATAATTAACAGGCTAAATTAAAAGAAGCATAGGATATCATTGTTGGAGCCCAGAGGATAGGGGAATCATGAGGCTTTTGAGTTAGCTCCTGTAAATTCTTATTATGTCACCACTGTTATCATTATTGTTAATATTACTATTTTTTACCTTTCAATTATCGGTTGAATGTCAATCAGACAATATAGTCTTGAATCATCTTTCTCGTGTGGAACAGGGAAATATGTGGGATGCGTCACTATTTAACCTCTAGTTTTTTCCAATGCTATAAAAATTGTGCTATATCAGTATCCAGAAGTAGTCTTTGACTGTCAATTTTTAGGAGAATGAGGAAAGCATACCTTTTACTTAACCTTTTTGTTCAGCTGCCTTTTTATTTTAATTTTTTTTTTCGCTGTAAAGCTTTCTGATTGTTTGCACTTTAACTGAATTGATTTGATTAGAATGGTGTATGCCTCAAATCAATTAGCATAACTAGGAAAATATTTCAATTGGTATGATGTGGAGTTATCATAATTTCTTTAAAAAAATAACTTTACAATCGCCACCTCTTGATCTGTAGATGTCCAAACCTAGCTTTGCCATGTCCTAGCCAGTACGTCTGCCCTTGTCCTAATCAGTCGGTCACTCAGTCAGATGGCAATTTGACCTTGATCCAGGAGTGCACTATCTGACCTTGACTTTTGCTACCCAACCAACTGTAGCAGCAAGTGCCAAGACGTTTGAGCACCATGCCATGTTAAATTTCCATTCCGACCCTTGCCTCACCAAACAGACAATCAGGGCTTAAGTTAGTGCTATTGTGGCCGTCCAACCATCGTGTGATTTCTCTCTCACCTGAGCTTAGTCTTACAGTTGGCCACCAGCGCACGCCAGCCACATTCTGTTTCCGTTATGTAAAGTTTCATTCTGTTAAATTGATGAAAAAGATTGTCGGACAGGTAAGTATCATGGTTTCAAGAACAGTGATCCATTGATGGCAGCCCAAAAAGAGTATTAATAGGTCTTTTAAGAAGTTATTGTTCATTCTGGGTCAGTCTTTATGGTGAGATTAGGTCTTTAACAGAGCATCATCCTTTTACAGATTACTTCTCATATTCAAATATTATTTGGTGTGGAGAGTGCTTAAAGTCTAGAAACTGTAAAACATTACATTTTATTGGCTGTGTGAAATTCTTCTACACCTAAAGGTCAGCAAAACAAAATTTCCATTCAGCCTGGGTCTAACAAAGACTAGGACTACTTTTTTTCATATGTACTCTCTGCTCTCAATGTTGCCAAGTTTTTTAGAGCGTACATGACTGAAAATGATATGTATTTTCAGGATTTGAAAGAGTATATCTCCAAGGCTGGAGAAGTCACATTTGCGGATGCACACAAGAGAAGGCAGGGTGAAGGGTGTGTATCTTTTCTTATGCATGATATTTAAAAAAGAACTTTACTGTAGTTGCTAGTTAGTGTGCTCTCCATGTAGTTGCTAAATTATGAAATATTACCTAAATACTCGTCCTAGGAGATGCTTCTTATTCTGTTGTGTTATGAATTTGTGTCAGTGAAGCAAAGCTGAATTGAAGTCTTCTAGGATTTCATTACTCATCACTCTTATTTTGTTACAGAAGTAATTGTAAAGTGTTGTTGATGTCTCTAATGAAAGCAGCAAAGTTTTAGTCAGAAGTTCTAATGGAAGATTCTGGTTGCATTTGTTCTAGTGACTAGTGAATGATTTTTCAACTGTGTCTATTTAACTGATCTATTGAATTAGATAAATGTTTGGTACATTACATTAACAGTAAATTGTCCATTCCAGAGTTGTGGAGTTTGCTTCCAAGGAAGACATGAAGGCAGCTTTGAAAAAGCTTGATGATACAGAGTTGCATGGCAAACGTATCCGTCTCAAAGTTGTAAGCTGTGATTTCCTTCTTGCATAAGAGAATGAGATAATTTCTATGTTATTGTGTCTTTGAATTTTCAAGATTGTTCATACAGCTTGTGGTGGTTTCATGGCATTTGGGACTAAATGTTTTACTTAAGATTGCCAAGAAACAATCTGAATTTTTTTTTTTAAAGCAAAGTTGTGTACAAACCTGGTAGTGGTGACTATGATAGGAACAGATTGATTGCAGAAACTTTTAGAGGGAGGAAACTTCAGTAACATATCTTAGTCTTTTTGCTTTGTTGGCAGGATCCTAAATTTAATTTTTTGCATTTAGGAAAAAGTGAGGTCCTCCTCACGACGTTCCCGCAGTCGCAGTCGATCTCGCTCCCCAAAACGCAGAAAAAGGTATGTATTTTTACTGAACTTTTTTAAAGGCTCATTTGAAAATGGAAAGAAACTGCATATTCTTGATTCCTTGGAAAAACTCCCTTACAGGTTCTTAATTTTAAATGGCTAGATGAAAAAGAAAGAAAGGCAAGCTTTGTATAGTTTTTAATAGATCATGAAGTGGTTTTGTTCAACATGGGTTGATTGTTGGACATCTGTCATCCAAATATTTTGTGATCTTTGTTGGAAAAGGTATACACTGATAGTTAGAAATTTGTCCTTAGTTTGAACATGTGGTATTGCAGGTGTAAATTAGTTTGTAATCAATGCATTCTGTCATCAAACTTCTGTTTGTTTTTTTCCTTACAGAAGCCATTCACACTCACGAAGTCAATCCAAGTCACGCTCTAAATCCCCAAAGAAGCGTCATCGTTCTTCCTCTCGCTCCCGATCACCCTCCAAGTCCCGCAAGTCACGTTCACAGTCGAAAGAAAAAGAGCGCTCAAGATCCAAATCTGTGGAGGAAGAGGAGAAGAAATCTCCAAGTCCAGAGAAAGAGGAACAAGAAGAGGAAGCTGAAGCAGAGGTTGAAGCTGATGGGGATGAGAAGGAGGATAGTCCTGAGGCAGTTAATGGGGATGAAGAGAATGGTGATGCTGAACATGAGCTTGAGGTGGAGGATGAAGTTGAAGAAGACTGAATAATTTTTTTTATTTATACATAAACATGTAGTCGCAAAATTAACACTACTCATTATAACATTTACCTGTCAGTAGTTCCACCAGGAAGGGCAGTTTACTCACCCTTTACTTTTGTTTGCCTTGCCTTTTTTTTCTTGACAGCTTTATGTAATATTAGAATAAGTGCCACCATTACATCAAAGGGATGATTATTTTGGTTTCAACATACTTCGTTTGGCATCTCTCTCTATATTGCATTTTTAAACGTCATGGACACCTAACTTGAAAACACTACTTTTATTGTTAATAAGCTTCATGGGAAATTATTGGTGACTTACATGCTTGCCATAGATCTCATAAACCTGGTTTTTTTTTACTGTTTTACTGTTTTTCCTGTTAAGTTTGTTTCTTGACTGAATAAGAGTTTAGATAGCAATCAGTCTCTAAATAGAGAGGATGCAAAGTTTAAAAGTACTTCCATTGTGATATGTTACAAATATACTTTGTTAGCTTCCTACATTAATTTTATTGATGTCGATGTAGAAATATAGTTTAGTGAAAGTTTATGTAAGTATTTGTATATCTGTCAAAGATTGAAAGGTTAGGTTAGCAAGTAGTACCTTAGAAACTATGTCAGAATTTGTAGTTTCCACTTTCCCTTGGAATTAAAGTCATACTCTTGTAATACTGTTTGAATGTTTTTAACATCATCAGTTATGTGACTAAGAGAATTTTAGTGTGAGGAAGTCTTTTCAACCTTTTTTTTTATTTGAAATTCGTTACTACGGAGAGACTGTTGAATTTTAGCGAGGAATGCCATGTGAAGCACTTGTATTTCCAAATTTCTTGCAAGTGTTTTCATCCTGAAGATTCTGGACTTCCTCTTTGAGGTCAGGGTAACTGGGGAGGGGGGACTTTCTCAATCTTTGTTTGCTTTGACCCTAGGAACATCGAAAGAGCAAGCGTATGAGGTTACAAGCTTGAGCAGGATAATTGGGAGCGTTTCCCTTATTTTAGAGATATTTTTGCCCCTCCCCCCCTCCAACCTTACACCTGCTACACGGATGAGTATTGATGTAATCCAGGAGTAGAGCAGCCCTTAGCGTGTCTACTCGAAAAAGTGCAACCCTGAACGTTGCTTGAACGTGTCAGCCAAGTGGGGAACCTGTCCTTGCGGTTGAGGCATGGACACAACGTTTTGTAAAGGTGAGAAGGCTTTCGGCGGGAGCCTCCACAAGGGTAATAGTAATTAAACACGCTGGTGAGTTGGGAGAAGGGCGAAGTTGTCATAATTACTCCAGGAGATCAACTTTACATGCTGCGGCGCCTTACCTTGTAAGTAGGAAACGGTAAAAAGAACGGAACGAAGGGTATAGTCTATTACCCCATAACATATAGATTTAGGCAAGCCTAAAAGCGGGGCTCGCATTTTTTTTCCCGCACGTCTCTTCAAAACTAAAGCCCCTACTATGGATAAAGTGCGTGGTAATATTAATGGATTCTCATTCGCAACTTCTCCGTGTCCATGTAGAGGACTGATTATAAGATAGAGCCCGTGGTACAGTTTGCCGCGCACGCTAAAAGTAGCACCTTGTACGGTCGGTCGTATGGTCGTACATCCAGATTTTTTCGGCTTGATGGGTTATTACTATTTTGTATAATTATGGGGCTCCGCTATTACTGATCACGTTTCTACACCTCCGTTGGATGTCACCAGAGAAGTGACGTAATTGCTGGACTATGGTGAAGGAAAATGGCGGGAAAACGGCGCGGAGCTGTAAGGGAATGTTTGAACAAACTTTCATCCTTTAGTTTTCTGTAAGTCTAAGAGAGATGTTGTCAAGACAACCTGCTCGATATACTTGTTGGAGCATCTGTCTGGTAAGCCCAGATTATTCGAGGATGATTGAGATGAAAATTACTGCAGCTTTTGCCATACAAGGGACGTCATGATGTCAGTTTTTGCCATGCAAGTAAGTGTCATTCCGTGGTAACATATAGATTTAGCCAAGCCTAAAAGCGGAGCTCGCATTTTTTTTCCCGCACGTCTCAAGGGTACAAAGCCTTGCCCCGCCAGGACTAGAACCCAGGTCGCCCGACTCGGAGCCCAGTGCACTGACCACCAGACTGCTGGACAAAAGCCGTGGCATTGGTGTGCCCGCGGCACAGTTGACCACGCATGTTAAAAGTAGTACCTTGTACGGTCGGTCGTACAGTCCTAAGTCCAAATCTTTTCGGCTTGATGGGTTACTACTACCATTTTGTATAATTATCGTACAGTCATGAGTCCAAATTTTTTCGGCTTGATGGGTTACTACTACCATTTTGTATAATTATGGGGCTACGTTCTGCGAGCTCCACTATTAGGAGAGCGCAAAATCTTTTTGGAATTCGTTTAAAGGAATGTAGAAAAAAATGGATATGCTCTTGATTTAATCTATCATAACTCAGGAAACTACGATAGTAAAACTAAGAGAAAGGACAAATGCTTGAAATACCACGACAAATTTTCCGAAGTTTTTCAGAAGCTCACTTAATTGCACCAAAGAAAGCCCTCGCAGCCTAGCGACAACATTTTAGTTTTGTTGTTGTGTGCTTGAAATACTACTCAAATTTCCAAAGTTGTACCGAAGTTTCTTATTTGCAACGAAGAAAGTCTTCAGAGCCTAAGTTTTCTCTGTGTTGTTTTTTTCCTTGTCAGAGGCTAGGGGCGCTGTTTCATTCAGTTACAGGATATTGTTGTTTATAATGCATACAAAGATCAGCAGGGCATTCTCCTGAACATGGAAAAATGTGCAATTTACATGACGTCATCAGGAACAAAGTTTTAAAAAATTCTAAGGCATTCAGACAACTCACGTAATGGCTCAGTGACACGATGTCAGATTACGGAAATTTACCCGGCATTCTATGAAAAATTACGCAATATTGGTGTTGATACATCTACAAAGCACTCGATCTTTCATGATGATCAAAATTTCAGTGTAGAGTTTTAAATTTTGTTAATCCGGAAGGATTTACCAATTAAAGCAACATGTGTTAACGTTTATGAAAAGATAGTGTTAAAGGGCATTAGTTTTTTATTGGAATGTTTTAAAAGAGACGTTAACAAAGCAAGGGTCAGTCTCAAGTTTATTTGTTTGTTTTTTCTAATTTTTACCCTTTGAACACTTTAATTTTCATTATATTATCGTTATGGAATTTTAATTATTCAGGTAGGAAATAACTTTGATTACATCGTTTTTTCATTCCCATTTTTTCTCCCATTTTCGAAAAAGGGGTGCACTACTACTCATCCGATAGCCTCATCAAAGTTCACTTTGTGCTCCAGCTTTCAAAAGTCAGTAAGTGAATTTTTTAAGTGAATAAGATGTGTTTTTATTCTGCTGGCAGTATGACCGGTCAATGGAGATTACATCATCACTTTGAAATTTAAACAATTATGAACCGTGACTTGTGGTTCCGGCAATTATACGGGGTCATTTCTGAGAGAAATTAACCTGATTAAAATTGTCACCTTACAAAATGCCTTTTAGAGTTACGATCTTGAAAAAACTCGGCGATAAGATCAGTCTATCCCTCCAAGTTTTGTGCCGCTCACGTTCACTAAATAGTTACACATCTACAAACATTAGTAAGTAAATAAAAAATTATCCTAATCGCACGCTATTTCAGTGACTAAGAATTCAAAGATTGTTTACGATTTTATATCATGACGTCAACTGAGTATGATGATTGTTAACTAACCTTTTTATGTTCGATGTATTTTGGTTGTACTTTGCATTAATTATGCAAGTTTCGATTTGAATAAACCAAATAATTGGTAGTTGTTTTGTCAGGGACAGCTACTTCATATGGAGCTGTGTGGCTTCAGTGAGAATATAAATTGTCTTATTGCAACTTTAATTTTTCTCCTCATGGAACGCACTTTTGAATATTTGCTTGAGGTTTAATAGAGAGCCGCCAATTTTTTATGTATATAATGAAGTTTTCAACCGTGGAAAGTTTTGATATAGTATCTCTGATGGACTTTCACGCAATCTACTAAAATAACGCCTGTGCCCCACCCACCCCCGCAAGAAAACAGAAGAACGAGTGACGATACAGTCCGTTTATGTGCCGACCAATCACAGACTAGAATAAGGATCGGTCATTATGCATTCTTGCCATCGTTGACGGTGGTTAGGATATTCGTCCGGTTGATGAAGTTCGTTGAAGTCAAACAGTCTCCTCAGTGTGTAAATGCGTATTTGTTATTCACATCAAATTTAACGGGTCGTGTTGTGGTGAATGCTTTCCCCTAGAATGTGATTGAACCTCGTAAACGCCAAGCAACATGGATGGAATTCGAACACGGCAAGAGGAACGCGCTCATTTGCGAAAACTGATTGCCGAATGGAACGCATGCCGTTTAGACATCTTTGCAATAAGCGAACCTGATGAGGTAGTTTTTGTCCTTACAGCCAGTTTTAACACTTAGATGTAGACCGTTCTTAACGAGATTCTACTTCTTGAAAGATACCTTGTTAGTGAAGGCTATTCGGGTTGACAATCTTTCGCCATATTCATTTCGCAGAACTTACTCTACCGTGGGGTGATGCGGTTTTATTTTCAAGATGCAGGAGCTAAAATGTCCACGAAATGTGTTCGCGTTTCCAGCACGGAAACAGCGGACGAAGTTACGAGAACTTTGGTGGAAAAGTTTCGCCCGGATATGAAGATGCTTTCTAATCCAAATTACTCTCTCTACGAGGTTCATCCAAGCGGAGGTAAGGCGAGAAACCTTTCAGATCAGACAAATGAAGTAGTTACAATCGCGTGTGACGGTTGTAAATTTCACGTCCTCTTTCTCGTTTTCATGCGGTTTGGTTATAAATTATAATGAGACCCGATTCTTTTTTTAATTATAAATTCTTTCGATTTTTCAAGGATTTGTTTCCCTTTTTATCGGTCTATGGATGCCGTTACGCTCACCCGAACTGGCTTCCAACGCGTCAAACGAATCGCCAAGCTCTGTCGAATGAAGTTGTACATTGTTTATCGTTCCAATCGTCCAGTTTAGAACGCAGCTTGAATACAGTGAACAATTTAATTTTGAAAACGCCCATTCTTACAACACGTTTCACTCGAAGACCGAAAGCTCGCATCGTGCGCTATTTTCGAGATCTTTTAATTTCTTGGGGTACGTGTTCAAGGCCTCGAGTTCGGGCGTCTAAATATGTGTTGAGATGAAAAATTAATCATAACCGCTAGGATATTGATTAGAAGACAGCTTTGGATTCTCGTTGAAGCTTTTGTAGTATCTCGCTGGTTTTGCTTGCATGAAAAGATTCTCTTCCCTTCATTATGATTGACCTTTCGTCACAATTCCTTTGGTATTTAATTCTTGTGTCATATTTCCTGACGGAGAATGTCTGGCATTCTTCATGTAAGCAGCCGAATTTCGAATCGAGCCAGGTTTCATTGAGGCAATTTTTTGTCGCTCTTTGTTGATTGAAATGTGGTATTTTTGGTTCTGACCGTTTTGAAAGTTTTCAAGGAATATTTACTGCTCTATTTACTGGTGCTGAGCAGTATTTTTAACGCTTGTAAATATCTGAGATATTGGCTCCCATTGAATAGATCTTAAAATACATCATGTTCCATTTGGGACTTCTCACAAGACCGACTTCCGTACATCCTGGTTTCGTAACATTAGAATTCTTTTCAGAGATGTATTCTGGATTAAGGTCTTTCGTGATCTGGGATGAATTACATAGTTTGAGAATGAAAGAAGCACCGGTGCGGTTGTACGAAGGTTTAGAACTAGTATGCAGAAAGAAGTCAAGAGTAGACAATTTGTCTAGCACAAGTTTATTTGCTTGATGATATAATCAAAGTTGTCTCATCAGAACAGCCATTCATTTGCTAGGATATTTAATATTTTCAGTTTCAACACCAGTTGATTGGGGAAGCATTTTCAAGTTAGGTTCTTTTCATCAGATCTAGGGAATAGTATTTTGTGGGTACTTGACAATGCGGTGATGCGAAACGGAATTTAGGCTGCTCTCATGTATCCATCGTATAAGTTCTTTGTGTTGTTGCTCAACACACTTATAAAAACAATTATTTTGTTAACATTGTGGTGCAACTTATTTAGAATGCTAAAAAAGAACAGAATGTGAGTGTTATGGCTATCTTTTCAACACACGCCTTATGTGGGTTTTTTTTTTCAATGTTATTCCAATGCAATGTTGTCGAAGGATGAAAGTAACATTTTGTGTACTAACTTGGCAAAAAGGTAGTCTATTTTAAGTCAAAAGAAGAAATAATTAGTAGTTACTGAATGTAAATCTTTCCTTTGTTTGTATGGCCCGGGCAGAAATTTATGCAGTATCTGAAAAACACAATTTCACTTGACAACTTGGAAAAGTGAGGAGATTGTATTGTTTCATTTGCATAGGGAAATTGAGAAATTTTGTTTGAAGTAGATTTAATCATTCAATGCCTTTCTAGAGATTTTCAAGTCAAAACCAGTGACTAATTTGTGGTCAACGTTCTCCAAATGATCTCTTTGTTAAGCAACATCTTTCTCTTAGCAACCACTTTGCAAATAACTGTTTTGTTCCATATTAAAAAGCTGTTAATAAAACTGTCTCTTATGGTATCACTGCTTGTACTTCTTAGGTGTTTGTGTCCACTTTCAAAGTCAGAAATTGTACATTCTTTTGTTATTTTTGTGAGCATGGAACACATTTCAAGGTGCAAAGGTGCATCAGCAGAAACCAAAAATGACCTAGTGGATACTTTGCTACGAGTTATTGATTTAGAATTCATATTTCTTGATGCCATAAATCTGTTTTACTTCTTTAACAAGTGAAGAAATAGTAATGATTACAGGATCCATTCAGCTTTTGGTTTTGTGTTGATTTCCCCTCGTATGACCACTTTCCTTAAACCAATGACTTTTTTGTGCACCAAGGGTGACTGTTTAGGGATAAGTTGATGGTATTTGACTGTGTAATGATGAAGTATTTCTTAGCTTAAATGACTATGTCCGCAGTGGCTCTGAAAGCCGATGCTTTGTTAGTACTTTTAGATGAAGGTTGGTTCAACTGAATTTGTTCCTTAGAGTTGAATCAGCTTTCCTGTCTTCCTTCCTCAGCCTTTCTATGACCACCTTGTTAAGTAAATTCAATCTTATAGGGGGTAAGCAGTTTTAAGAAAGGAATCTCTTTAAATCTTTGGTTTGAATATTTACTCTTTGAGAAAGATTCTAGCAATCCAATTTTCTCCCTTGAGTTTTAAAAATCTCTGGTACTGGAAATAATGTCTTAAGTACAAAATGTATTTATTTTCAGAGTCCAGGAAGCTATTGAAAGATGACAAGCCTTTGTTTGTGCAACTGTTGTGGCTGCAAGGTGACAGGGAAGGGCGATTTCTACTGAAGAGTGATCAGGAAGCATTAATAACTACAAATGTTTTCTCAAGTGATGGTGACATTGAACCTGGTCAAAGTTTCAAGAGGAAGTTGTCTAAAAGAGAGAAGAAGGAGCTGAAAGAGAAAAGGAAAGAAGAAGCAAAGAAAGCTAAAATCTTAGGTCAGCCTTCATCTCCTACAAAAACTAATGATGATTCTGCTCTTGCACAAATTCTTTATGATGAATTGCCTGAAACCAGTTTTACACGAAGCATCTCAAATCCAGAAATAGTCATGAAAATGCGCCGCCAACGAAAGCTGGAACGTAGACTCCAAGAATTTCAAAGTAGTGATGGAGGGACGGACAGTGGAGGTACTTTGAAAATCTTTGCAGAAACACTCAAGCCTCAGATTCCATACAAGACTCTTCTTGTTTCAATGCGTGATCCAACAACATATGTTGTCAAAGAAGCATTGGACAAATATGGCATGGAAAAAGAAAATCCTGACGAGTTCTGCCTTGTTATGGTTAACATACCACCTGGAGGTCAAAATGGAGGAAGTACACTTGGAAAAGAGAGAGTTGTTCACGATGAAGATAACCCCCTGGCTATTGCTGCAACATGGCCTCAACAGCAAGGCCATGTTGTCTTCCACTTGCGTCGCAGGGCAAATTTGCCCCAATACAGAAAACAGAAGAGAAGGTCTAAGTCTCCCTCAAGGGTACCCATGGATAGCACATCAGATAAAGCAATAGGTGAAAGACTGGCAAATTCATTTCCAGAACATTTGTTGCCCTATCTTCGGGAGTTGTCATCTGATGGCCGAGAGCTTGATTACAAAGCAAACATTCACAGGTTACCCATGGAAATAACCGAAGTGGGTAGTGAAAAGTCCCTGTCATCTGCAAATAGCTACCTGGAGTTGTTTGGATCTCACATCCTTCCCCGTCATTGTGTGATAACCAATATGGATGGAATTGTGTCAGTTGAGCGCACTAACCCTGATGCTGAAATATATGTGGATGGTAGAAGAGTTTATGAGTCAACCAAGCTAAGCCATGGTAGTGTTATAAAGTTTGGTAGACTTCACACTTTCAAGTTCTGTGACCCAGCCTTTGAAGATAAAGTAACGCAGAATTCACCAGTTCCTGACACTGGTAGTATTAGTAGTGGGCAGAGTATGAGTGATACAGATTCTCAGAAGCGGTCATCTAGATATAGGTAATAACCCTTGCAAAGGTTACATTTAGTCAGGGGAGAGGTGGCAAGAAAACAGAACATATTGGTGAGAGGATTTGTCTTGCACTCTGTGAGCAAGGTTTTATTTCTAGACCTGGTATCACATAGGAGTTGAGTCTCTTGTCTTCAAATAGCAAGTTAAACCCCGAGAAAACACACACACAGACAAAAAAAACTCCATATTCCAAATTGACATTAAAACAGTAGTCCAAGAACCACTCCACGAATAAGCCACTGCTGAATTTTATGTTTTTAGTGATATTTATTGCTATTTCATAAAAATCAAGTAAGTTTCACTGTAAGACACTTTGTATTGTCTTTGCAGCAATATTCTCCATCTGAATAAGTGCTGCTCTTATTTTCTGTTAGCACTAAAATGAAATACTTTTGAATCCCACATCATGTCATGTGGTCATCTCATGTCATCTTAGGTAGTTTCATCCACTCTGATTCTTCTCACCCTAAGTCTGTCATGCTTTTCTGACTTCTCATCTTACTGTTGTTTACTAACTTTTTTAAAGATATATATGCTAATTAACTAATCAAAGGTGTACTCTAGCAGAGCTTGGAGGGTTAGGGGCCACTAACTTTTGTTGTTGTTGGAAAACATGCATAATTTTTGTGCTCATGAAAGCTTTTAGAACTAAGAATCCCAGATCTCTGAAACAAGACCCTCCAGGCATGGGTTGATTGTTCTAGAAAATACTGCTTTGCTTATGGAAATTTTTGTGATCAGAAATAATTTTTAAAAATCTCTGACCAAGATTATGTAGATAAGAACTACAATATGTGTTATTGTTACCTAGACCTGATCAGCCTGGTGGAAAAAATAGAGAATATGAACAGAACAATGTGGAAGCAACAAATCACGAATCTGGCTTGTTTGAGACAACCTTTGGCATTGATGGTGAAATTGAGACTTACACAAGTGAAAAACCTGTGAGTACAAACTTGATAGCAATGATTAATGTACCAGTTACCTTTGTTAACTCTCCCATAAGCAAATTAGGAGATGGGAATATTTAAACTTTTTCCTCAAAGTTATTACAATATTACATTTATTAATATTACTAATATTACACCAAATTCATGATCAATTTTCAAGGATATGTTTTGCAGCAAGAAGGGAGGGCTACATATGGGTTGTTGGAGTTAAAGTCAAGTCAGTTAAGACTTATCTGAATGTGTTCTGTGTTAGGGTCATGAGCGTCAGGACCAGCCCCCCAATGGTCTGCGTTCTTCAGCTGATGACGTTTCAGATGATGGAATGGGTGACAAGCTTCCAGCAAGACTAGAGTTTAGAGAGTCAGGAGAAGATGCTTTCTTTGCAGCAGTTGTCAGTGAGGTGAATGGTGACAGAGTTCAGTTCAAACTGGCACCAACCTACACTCTTTACATGTGCTGTCGTTATCGCATCTCCCCAGCATATCGAGAGGAACTTTCAAAGCTTCAGCGTGGCGACCGGTTGAGTGTCACTGTTCAGAAAATTGCCAACATGGTGCGCTCAACAGTTGAGGTAAAGTTTGCTTGTGACATTCTTGCATTCTTGCTTATTTTAGTTCTATCTGTCTTTACAAGGCTTCTAATTAATGATCATTGTCTGGAAATGCCTTTCTCCCACAGGTTGATCCTTATCAATTCAGTCATTCAATTTACTGTCATCAAAATGAAATATTTAAGGAATAAGCTTTGAAAACAATGTTAAATAGATGTAATCCTCACAGTAACTTTGTTTCTGTTAAGTTTGTTGACAAGCAAGCAAGCTAAAAGTACTTTGTCCCCTCCATCATGTTAATGAATTTAATTACAGTTACGTTCATTCCCTTTGATTTAACTTTGTCATATATGGTAGAATACTGTCACCTTGCTTTTAATAAAAGTATCAGAGCAAACATTTTGGGCATACTTTCTGTTACCACTTATCTAAGAAGATATGGGAGTAAATTTTCCTTACGATGTTGATACAAGGTCAAGCAGGCAATTGATAATAATGAAAATAAATAGAAGTTTTGGGGAAGTGGTTTGAGTTAACATCATATTTTCAGTATTATTTTCACATGAAATGTGTGACAGAGAGTAAGGAGAATAAATATTTCTTCATGGAAGTGAAAGGGTTTGATCTACTTGAAGTTTTAGAGAAGTCTCCTAAGATTGAGTGCCAAGTCAAATTTTTACCCACAGGAAAATAGTCAGCTGCCAAGCAGTCTGGCTTTTTGGATGGCAAACTCATCAGAGCTCCTCCATTTTCTGAAGCAAGATATTGATGTATCACCATACTTAAAAGACAGTTACCAGGTGTTAGCACAGTCAGTTCAAATGGCATTCAGACACCTTGTACAGTGTGTAGAGCAAGAGTTGCGACAACTGATGTCTGCATTCCTTGATGTCACTGAGGATGCTGACATGGAAGATGGTGACATAGATTCAATGATGGATATGAACTCTCCTGATGACATTATGGGTGAACGTAGTTTTCGATATGGTCCTTCTGGAAGACCCATGGGTGGAGACAGCTGGCTTGGTGAGTTGATCTTATGATTAAACTTCTTCAGCAAAGGAGATGCAGGGGCTTATAGCCCATTTGCACCAAAGTTTAAACATGTTTTAGAGCTTTTTTTTTAACATGGTTCCATGCACAGAGCACAGTAACACTCCCAAGTATTGTAACTGTACTCAACCACTGGCAAGTGCATGTACTGCCAGAAAATTTGTGAAAGTACTTAAAGATGCTACAGGTTGGCAATACTGAGAACACAGTACTTATAGCTAATTTTGTAACAAATCCCTGTTTCTAGGTGGCCGCAGACGCCATGGCAAGCCCACAGTGTCTGACATCTTATATACACTGGCCTCGGCTATGTCATTGTTGCGACGCTGTAGAGTAAATGCGGCTCTAACCATTCAAGTGTTCGCACAATTATTCCACTACATCAACATGTGGATATTCAACAAGATTGTACTTCAACCTCAAATGGGCCTGTGTACCAGAGACTGGGGTTACAGACTAAGTCGAAGACTGGCAAGAGTGGAAACTTGGGCCCAGAAACAGGGTCTGGAAATGGCAGCGGAATGTCACTTGTGCCGTGTAGCTCAGGTTAGCCAATATGTTTCAGTCTTACTGTGGAATGGCCAATAATTGTTGGTGTGTATTCCTAGCTACTCAAGTTTTAATTTACTAGCATTATTATTTTAAATAGTACACAACAATGAGTGGCAGTGGTAGTTGCCTGCCTTCCATTCCCAGCTGGTCTTAACAAAAGAAACAGAAATCTTGTAATAAGCCAAAACAGAATTGTAATAAACAGAAACAGAAATCTTGTAATAAATTACTTAAAAGTTCCCCCTTTCTCCCTGATTAATGTTGCCTGAAATTAGTGGGCCTTTTATTTTAATACCAGCCAACATCAAAATGGGGGAAGGAAGAGTGAAATGAAAGTTATAGAAAAAAATTCAAAAAGAGGTAGAGCGTGCCGAGACTTTGACCACTCGTTGTAATCTGTTACTGCAGGATGTCATATCAAGGTTAACCTGATAATTTTCTTGTACTCTTCTATACTTATTGGTTGAGAGAAATAACTTGAGCGTTTAGTTTAGTGTCTAATAATACAACACAACGGCACCCCTTGGGTTTGAAAACAAACGGTTCATAGGGCAGGAAGACACACGATGACCAAGTTGCAATTGGTTTTAGTTTTGAATGTAATTGGTTGAGCAAAGTGGTGCAGTTTTTCTGGACCAATCACGTTGCGAGTCGGATTTAAAGCGAAACCAAAGCGATCCCGGTTTCCTGCTCCATAAAGAAATTCGCGCATAGCTGGATTATATTTCTGTATGTGTTTTACATGTTATACATAAAAGCGGAAGTTTAAGTCTAGACGGGCTTCCAAGAACAGCATAATTTAATTTATGTATAGGTTGTAAACATCAGTTCCATCTGGCCAGCACATTGTAGACTGGCAAAGATGGGTGAATTTTCGTCAGCTTTCTCGAAAGCCAAAGCAAAAAATTACCGTCTGTACTAATTAAACTTACGTGTGGCAAATTTTATTTCCTACTCAACCAAAACCATTTGTTTCCGTTTTGTCTTACCTTTAGACAAACGCACTCAAATTTGACTTTCATTAAGATAAAATAAACATCGAAAAACAGATGTCACGAACCGGGTGCATAGATAAGAGCGTTGGAGTAGACAATCAATCATTTATAAGTCGACAGAGTTGAAGACGCTCAAGACGTTTTATGTTGGTTATTTTATCTTGCTTGTTTTTGTTGTTGTTGTTGATTTTTTTAACTTCTTTTTTCTCTTAACAGGCGGCTCATTTACTACAGGCTCCTAAAAACTCTCACGGCGACATCAATTCTTTATCATCAGCTTGTTATAAATTGAATTCAGTGCAACTACGTGCCTTACTTGAAAATTACCGACCTGCTGCGGACGAACTTAATATCCCAAGGTGTGTAAAACATTTTCAATATGAATATTTGATGCAACTGGTAACTGCTTTGTTGATACTTATTCGCTGTATAAAAGAATTGTGTGCTTTAAAAATCGCCCCAACTTATGAGTGAGAAAATTAAAAAAGTAAAATTACCTTTAAAAATACAGCAGAATAATAACTATTGTTACGGGCTAACAACGAGAATTCTATTTTTGGCGTGGATAATTTCTCTCTGGAGCGGAATTTTATCGGATTGCGCGGCTTGCACAGGATCAGTTGAATGATAAACACTCTATCCTTCATGAATTATTCAACCGACAACGATTTTCACCATATCCTTACCGTGCAAAGACTATGCGTTTTACAAACATTTATGAGTGTTTGTCCAAAGTGATTGACTTAGATGTGTATTTTCGCCTTTACTAATATCCTCTTATTTGGATTTAAACTTTCTCAGGGATTTGATCGACAGCGTTGTGGCCGTTGCCGAGAATACGGCAGATGAGCACATTCGTAACCAGGGCCAAGCCGTGACACTTGAAGAGGACCCTCAACTTCAGCTCCCTTTCTTACTCCCTGAGGACAGGTACTCGTGCGAAGTGATCCGTGGCGTTCCTTCGGGTTTAAAGGAATTTTTGAGCCCTCTTGCAGGAATCGGTGAGTGTTTATACGAGAAAATTAAATTTTGGTCAGGAGAAAAGTTAGAGTTCACGTTTTTTGATTGACCCCGGCGCCATTGTAATTTACAATTGTATGATTAATCGTGTTTTCTTCATATGGATAATGCTTGGGTTGTTAGTTATGGTCCACCTTCCCTTCTTAAGGAGATGATTCGTTATTCCACAAGGCTGGTGTTTGGCCGAGTGGTCCCGGATTCAAGGTCTCTAACCCTGCTACACGCTGCATTTTTTTTTCGGTTGCCCCGAGTTCAACTCCTTTGCTGTACTTTGTTTATAGCAAACTGGTCTGCCTCTTGCCAGTTGGGATTTTTAAACACTACGCTTATTTACAATATTTGTTTCCAATTTTTGGTATTGACCCTGAAAAGTCTAATTAGGGGTGTGGTTAATTTTGAAAACACACTGACCTTCGAAACAGGTCATGCTAAAAAAAATACTTTGATAAAGGAAACCTTCCTCCAAGAAAGAAATTAATTAGAAGTAAATCCACGTTCACATTTTGGAACTTGTGTTTAGTTGATGGAGTAAGTCTTGGAAAGGTTTTAAGGAAGTGGAAAAGCAAATTTCACCATGTTTAACTTTCTTGCTTTGCAGGCTTATGTAGATTGACTATACAGCCAACCTCTTCGGGCTTATGGACTGTTTACCACGCCAAGCACAAGGACTCTGGTGAGAGAACTTATTCTCCCCGCTTTAATTTATCTGATTAACAAATAGATGCCGTGTTGCTGTACATCTGTTCAGTAATAGATCACAGATGACGTCAAACTTTGTTTTTTATGATAGTATAGCAAAAGTTTGTTATGGTGACCTCATCGATCCATTTTTCCTTCAAGAGATCTTAAATAAAAACTAATCAAAGTGCGTGGATAAATCACTGAGCTTATTGTATCATTCATTGTTTCGGTCATACTCGATTTTTGATAACCTGGCTTTGTATTTTTTCGTAGGTGGTGAAATTTCTGCAAAAACTCCTCAGGTATGGCGTTTAATTTTCGTCCGTCTGGAATCTTTCAGTAATAGCTTCCGCGTATATGTATAGAAGTCCTCAATGAATCTCCCTTTGATTTTCTCTTGATTCTCTTGAACAACATTTGAATTTCTTTTTATTTATTTCATTCTCAGACCCCTGAAATTATGGACGTCTCCTTCTACAAAGGACAAGGAGGCATGGGTCTTAGCATTGTGGCCGCTAAGGTAATTTATTTTATGATTATCTTAAGCACGATTGTAAGGAGAAAAAGAACTATAAAGTACATGTACGTCTAGTCACTAGGTACATTATCCTCACGCTGTTGCCTTTTTTCATCGTTTTAAGGGTGTTGGACAAGACAAACTTGGCATTTACATCAAGCAAGTTGTGAAAGATGGTCCTGCTGCTAAGGTGGGTAACATGTTCCGTTTTACTTTTTGAGTTTTCATTTGTTATTTCGGAAATTTTTCGCAATGCTGAGATGTAATAGCTATTGCGTAGCAACCTTCTGCTTTCTAAAGTTTGAATTTTCTTATTCCTATCGTTAGGATGGACGTCTACAAGCAGGAGATCAGCTTTTATCCGTGAACGGCGAAAGCCTGGTGGGCGTTCCACAGGAGAAGTAAGAATATCTTTAAATGAATGTTTCCGATAAAGTTAACCCTTCAACTCCCGTGAGTGATCAAGACAGAATTACTCCTTACTATATCTTTACAATATCATGCAGACAAGTGATGAGAATAAAGAAAAATATTAATTATGGGATTACTAGTTGATCCGATACCAAATTCTCCAAACTAACATCATGAGAATCATTTGGCAGACAGTAGAGAGAATTACTAATGAGATCTTAGGAGTTAGAGGATTAATGACCCTAACATTAGCATTCATATTCTCCACACTATTCTCTTTATATTTTCTATGGCAATGACATAAATAATTTGTTTGAAAATCAGGAGCTCCTAAAATAGGTGATCATGCTTCTCATTCTCCTGACCTTTACATTTTATTGAACCGGTAAGGAGAAATTACAAGCTAGACTCTCTTTAAGGGTTAAAGGGTTAATACTTATGTGGTTTATGTCTTGTTTTTTTGTTGTTGTTTATTTCCCTTTCACCCTGTGGTGAGAACTTTTGGTAACAATTTCGTCTATGTTCCAACACTTAAAGGAAACACCTTGTAAAGAGAATCCCCACACATATGCCAAAAGAAACGTGGGGAGACCTGGAAGGAGAATTTACCAGGATTTACGTTTGATATGAGTCGAGTTATATTGTTGTATTTGTTTCCCAGGGCCGCAGAGCTAATGGTCAAATCTGGACCTGATGTTACTTTGCGCATATCTAAGCAAGGCGCTATTTATCACGGCCTTGCCACTCTACTGAGTCAGCCATCACCAATGGTTACCAAAGGTAAGACATGAGCCTTCTTCTAAAACTTTAGCATACTGAGGTCGTCGTCTTCGCGCTGAACGCAATATGAAGCAACAGGCTCTAAAGTATTGACAACAGATCACCAGAAAGAGTCTTGAAGATCGACACGGATCGAATCTTAGGCGTGTACTCGAATCTGACCGCAACAAACAAAACGTTATCTTAATATTTAGTGAATGATATTTCTATGATAGTGGTTGTCGAACAAACATCATATCACAAACCAGACTATGCTCCTTATCAACAAACCTTTTTTTCAGGTTTTTTTTTAACGCTTTAAACCTCAACAAGGACCAGCATCTTATTTCCTTCGCACAATATTACTGTTGATTCATTTATTGAGATATTAGGCATCAGGTAAATGATCGCCAACCTGAAAAACTTTGATTGTGAAACAAGTTTTCCACGTCAGTCTCAAAAGAAATGTATAGAGAAGTGTATGGGGTGGATTCTGATGTTAAGATGAAATAGGTTAATATCACTATTTATTAATTTATTTTTACGTAGAGCCACAACAGAAACTTGTAGCAGTGGACAACGAAGAAATACTTCAAGCATCACCAACTATCTCCGAGCAAGAGATGCAGCGGTCTCCTGGGCGGTGGCTACAAAAAGACCGCGATCAGTCCTACAGACAGGGTGACGAGGAAAGAGGGCGCCGGTATCAAGACCAGTGGCAAGTGGATGAAGACAGGAGAAGGAGGGATGGAGGAGACGAACGACGGCGATACTCTGAGGGTCAGCGGCGGATGGAGGAGGAAGAACGTATGCAAGTGGCGGAAAGGGAAAGGCGGTATAGAGAAGGCGAAGAAAGGCGACTGGAAGAGGAGCGCAGACAGGAGCAAAGACGACAGGAAGAAGAGAGGAGACTACAGGAGGAGAGGCGGCTTGAGGAACAGCGAAGGCGCGCCGAGGAACAACGAAGATTAGAGGAAGAACGAAGACGCGCCGAAGAACAGCGGAGACTAGAAGAAGAACAGCGGAGACTAGAAGAAGAACGGAGGCGCGCCGAAGAACAGCGGAGACTAGAAGAAGAACGAAGGCGCTCCGAAGAACAGCGGAGACTAGAAGAAGAACGGAGACGCGCCGAAGAACTCAAGTTAGAAGAAGAACGCCGTCGGGAAGAAGAACGGAGACTTGAAGAACAACGTTTGTATGCAGAGGAACAAAAGAGAATCGAAGAGGCTCGGCTACGTGAGGAAAGGCGAATAGCCGAAGAGCAACGAAGATTGGACGAGGAGCGCCGACGAGAGGAGGAACGAAGAATAGAAGAACAACGGCGATTTGGTGAAGAAAGGCGTCGGCAGGAAGTAGAAAGGAAACGAGCGGAAGACGCCCTGAAAACGATTGGTGAACATCAGCGTCGACAAAAGACCATTCAAGTTGAACCCGTCCGATCTCCTTACAGGGTCCGATTTGAATCTGAAGATGTTGAGAGAGAAAGACAGCGATCACCACTCACTGTGAAAGTAGAAGAACCTGAGATAATGGCCCGTGAGAACAGAAATCGGATTTATAGTTCACCCACCTCCCCTGGGGCAACATCGCCTGGGAGGGGATCCCCTAGAGAGGTTTGTGAAAGTAGATAAGAATGCCTAGATGAAAAAAAATGATCGAATGACAATATCTTCTAGATGCTAAATAACAGTTCAACCTAAATGTGTCACAAGCTGTAGGAGGCGAGCTCTTTTCCATGAACTTCACTGCTTCCTGATAGGTGTTTATAAAGTTGATTTTTCTCAATACTCTTTCGTTTTATTTTTCAGGAAAAATCTCCAGATGAACCTCCTTCAAGTCCAATTCGAGTCGACAGCCGCAATTCACGGTACGGACGGTACATCATGGTTAAACAGGGAGCACAAGCCACAAGACCAGGAGAAACTGAACAAGCCGGTAACTTAAAGCCGAACGAGAGAGACGAGTTAAACCGTTGGCAACGAGAGGAGGCAAGAACCGCTGAAGAAAAGGAGGGCACGTTGGAGCGCCGCGATCGAGATGAGCGAGCTTGGAGACATCATTTGGAAAGGCAGAGGAAAGAGCAGGAAGAGAAAGAGCGTTTAGAACGCGAACGACAAGAAAGAGAGCAACAGGAACGACAACGTCGTGAAAGAGACAGGCAAGCACTTGAGAGTATTGAACGGTCGCGCGCGGAGCGTGAAAGACAGCAAAAATACGATCGTGAACGAGAGGAACGCGAGCGCGCTGAAGAAGAACGTATCATGAACCAAATGCAAAGGGAAGAATTGAACGAGCAGCGAGAAAGAGAAAACCATTTGAAGCAACTTGAAGAGGAACAGAAACAGCTTAGAGAAATGGAGCAGTCCAGGCTCTCGAAGCTTTCAAGAGACAAGGGCAGCAAAGAATTTCTGGACACCATCGAGGCTCTATCGGCAGACGAGGTCGAACGAGAATTCCAAAAACGTCTTGAAGCAATGAGGAATCGTCGGGAATCTGCTGAAGATGAAGAGGTAAATGCATCACTTTTCGTCATCCTAACATTTGAAAAGTTTTTTTGTGTGCACGGAAATAACACGCAAATTGCTGGTATGATATTTTCTGGAGTGAGATCTTGGGAATTGAAGGATCCTCGCAAACTTTATTTTCATAAGATAATTGCGTGAGATATGGTACATGTTCGCACACAGGGGAAAAGTATGTTTTTTTTTTAAGTTTCCGACAATGTTTTTTCGCGACAGAGACAAGTGTGTGTAAATTTTTATCACCAATCTTTCGTTATTACAAAGTCTTCAGCGTAATTGAGTCGAGGATCGAATAACTACTCCTTCCAGAAACGTGTTTCTCGTTTTCAAACAATTTCCTTTCCATTGAAAGTAGAAACGGTGGCGCGACCGACATGATTGTTCCGTTTTTATCTCATAGAGTGATTGGTTCAATTATAACTGACGTCAGTGCTTTCAATTTTACTCGATTTTTTTCACACTTTATTACTTTCATTCGGTGTCTTTGCTTGATATTGCCAAACTCAAGCAGTTTAGTTTCGTACAAACTCTTTCGCGTTGATTCTTCACGAGAAATTGATATCGATTACTTTGAGTTACTTTAGCTGCTTTTTTAAGGTAGGTTCATGTTTTCGCGCTTAGAGAAGTCTTTGTCACTGGTAATGTCAGATACCGCGACACAATTTTTTTTTCTGGTCTTTGGAATTTATAATTTGGTTGATTCCGTCGTCCACTTCAACGTTGGGAAGATTTGCCGCTATCTGAAGTATTTTTCCTTGAAACAATAGATTCGTTAACCGTGAAAAATTACCTAGAGATGTCTACGAAGAAAAACATGACTGACCGATCTTATCTAATATCCTGTATGACATGTTCGTTTTTCTTTCACATAGCATTTTTTTTCAGTTTGCCTGATGTTATTTCAAAAGGTTAAACTATTTGAAACTCGTACTTGCGTTTTTGTCTTCATACTCGAATGGTAGTCGAACAGTACACCTCTGCTAAAAATTTTTCAAGCGGTGAATGACAGATTTGGCTTTCGGTACTGTGTCCGATATTTTATGGTTTTGGTGGTTTTTTTTTTTTTTAAATTTCTTTTCGCCTTTTCTCTTGTATTCTTCCCATTATTTGAATTTCAATTTGGTGAACTTAGCTGCTGCAAACGCAGATGACTTCAATGCCTTGTGGATCATACGATGCATGTAATGTGAAATTCAAGATTAATGAATGGGTTCAGAAGTAAAAGTAGAATCGCCTCGAAGAATACTTTCGGGTCAACTTTGTAATAACTACTTCTACGCCTCTGAGTTCAATCCAAGTAGTATTTCCTGTAGCATTCCTAAAGATCCGGTGTCTAGTAACCCACTGAAGATCTTGAATTTTTTTATATTTTTACAATTGCTTTCATTTTTTTGATATTTTTCGTTTAGCTTGAGAATCTAATAACCTTGACCATGCTCTTACTTGCAAAGTAGTCTTGTTCGAAAAAGATGGGCATAATTAGAGATTAAAAAGTTTTAAGTTTTTTTTTTAAGAGAACTGCCTTTTTATTCATAGGTGCATGTGAATGAGGTATTAGCTCTATCTGTTATGGTTAGGACAGTAAATCGCTTCATTTTTTTTAACATCTGTCTTTTATTGTAATTAAAGGATTGACTTGGGGTATAGTTTTGGTTGCACTTCGAATAAACGACTTCGTAAGGAACGTGGAAGGGCAAGGCACTCCTTCCGTCGATGACACCGTCAAAGGATCATCTTTGTCAACTGTGCATCTTTACAGAAGGATAACTAGTGTTTATAAATCGTTTCAGTTAGCAAAGCGAATGAAAGAGTATCATAAGAAAAACGAGTTTTTAATAGACTTTGATTCAGTAATCAATCCGACAGATCAGAGAAGATAAGATAGAAGAGCAACAACAACAACAAAAATATAACACGATATAACGAATTAAGATATGATGTACTCGTGTTACATGTATATTTCAAAATATCCTAGCGTTTTAAGTCTATTTCTCCAAGGGTCACGTGTAAGGTTGTCTCGCAGTATTAATTTCACATTAAACCCTGTTTGTCTCCAATAAAGAAGGGATGATACTTTATCCGCTGGACAACGCTGTTCAGTTTTGAGTAACGAGGATTGTGCTTGTCTTGACCGAAATTTTAAAGCAATGGTAAACGGATCAGAGGAAAAGCTGAACAGCTTAATAATTTCTTTTTTTCTTCTCTTCTTCCTGGTCGTACAGGAGCGCACCGCTGGCGGACTGGTTTCAGTAACACGTGTCAAATACTACGCACCAGATAAGGAAGAGAGAATGGAGCGGGGGAAAAAGATTGACTTGCTACTCCAAGAAAACATCCGGCGCGAAAAGGAAAAGAAAGAAGCTGAAAAGAGAAGACAACAAAAAGAGGAAGAAGAGGAGATACTTCGAAGGTGATTGTTGAAGATATGGCTTAGTTTTAGTCTTGAGAAAAGGATATTTCACTCGCTAGATGATTTTGTAATATTATGCCGGCGAAAAAGGAATAATACGATTCCTTTGTGCAAAAGGAAAATCGACGATCGGTCGATAAATAATCACTTAACACTCGAAAGTTCTCTTGTCAAGGTGGTCGTTTTCTGTGTGAGTGATTTGGGAGAAGGGAGTGGAAAGGTCCCTAGAAAAAGGTTGTAGTGCTCGTCTTAGTCTTGACACACGTCAGTACACTCGGAATCAAAATTGATACCGCGTCTCCCATTAAAGATGGATGTTATTAAACTGGAATCGCGATGCCCAAGTGTAACTAACTCCTGCGATCTGTGTTCTGTTTTCAGAGAACGACAGCAGCGCAGACTTCAGCAGTTTGAATTAGATCGCGAACAGCAGAAGGAGGCGCAGCGAAAAATTCAAGAACACCGTGACCGAGAGCAAGAGGAATGGTTGAAACAGCAACGAGAGAAGAGAGATCAGCAGAGAATGGAACAGGAGAAGCAACGGCAGGAGAAGAAGATGCAAGAGGAAGAAGAACGTAATAGAAAGAGACTTGAAATACAGCAGCGACGTGATCAGGAGGAACGGCTGCGGTGGCAGCAGAACCAAAAGTTAAAGGAGGAAGAGGAAAGACTGCGAAAGGAGGAGGAGCGAGAGGCGGAGGCTAGGCGTGAGTTCGAACGCCAAAAGCAACAGGAGGAACAAAAGATCGTCAGAGAAAAGGAAGCACAATTGCGAAAGCAGCAGCTTGAAGATCAGATGCTTCAGGAAGGGAAAGTTCGGAAGCCTTCCGTCGAGGAGCACGTCAATGAATTGAAGAGTCGTGCGACAGCTGACTACGAACGGAGGCGAAAGCTGATTGACGAAGAGATAACTCGACGGCGTTCTGAACCACCATCGGCACTTCGCAATTCGGGATCAAATCGCCCCAAGAAGCAAGTATCCTTTTCAAATGTAGCGACAGAGATTCGCGAACCCGCTTCTCCAACATACGTGGTTGGGACAGCATCAGGTTACACAGCACGAGTTACTCCTGCCCCCAGTGTCCGGTATGTGAACACTCGTGCTCCTAGTGACTCTGAACCAGATTCTGCTAGGCCACCCCTCCCTGATGATGACGATGACCTACCGCCTCCTCCGCCACCGCCTCCTCCCCCTGACGAGTTGTTAGAAGATGACAATTTTCCACCACCACCTCCACCAAAATCGCTTCACAGCTCTGAACGATTTGCTGCTCTCAGTGGTGAGCGACCCTCGCGAAATGGTGGGTACACGTCCAGGGTGACGATCTCTGCCCCTGGGACTCGGGATCAAGCCTTCTACCCCCAACCTTACTCTAACACGGGAGTTCCTCTTCGACAGCCCCCAATTACCTCATCTTCCGCTTACCCAAGTTACGCCACATATCCTAGGCGACCTCGACCTGTGTCCTATCCAGCAGCCTTTGAGATGAATCAGCCAGGTCCTCCTCCGGCCCCTACTAGGTATGGTTCGCAGGACAATGTCTTAGACGGACCTCCATCTCGATCCCAGTCTCAGTACGCACCAAAGCCTGCCCGGTTGGATAGCGACGAGTTGAATGGGATGGAGATGACTCGCGGTCGTCTGGGTCGGATGTCCTTGACTGACGAAGAGAAATCCGAGGGCCAGTTTGTGTCCAAGAAACCAGAAAAGCTTGACTTCAAGGACAAGCTCAAAATGTTTAATAAAGACACACCAGAAGAGAAAATCAGGACATCAAGATGGGAGCAAGGACAACTAGCGCAAATGAATGGCGATTTAACCTCTCCTTAACGGTATTTTAACCGTCCATGAGTTTCGAAATAAGCGATGATTACACTGTGATCTCTCTATCTGAAAAGTTTTAAGCGAAAAAAAAAGCGATAGGGTGACTGTGCCAGAATGTTCGTATATTTTTATACAAATCTCTGAGAGGAACATTAACAGTCTTAAAGTAAAAAACCCGTGTAATATCCGTTGCGAGAGGCCCGTACTTACCGGTGTCAAGCTACGAGATAAATTTAGCAGTCTCAGTCAGTGAGGTTCTCTGAGTTTTCTCGTTGTCACTGGCTTATCAAGGGAAGAATGTTTTAAAGAAAACTTTAAGGTTGGTCAGATCACAATATTTGGTTGCGAGTTTGACCCCATATGATGGAAATTTCTTATTTTACTTGTTTTTTAACTACTTGTACGTGGGAAGTAATATCATGCTTTATATCTTCATTATCTTATTTTCAGTTATAAATACACAGAGAAATAACTATAGAATTATTGTTTATTCAAAAGTGCTCTAATGAGAGGTGTCGTTTTCTTATTAAGAGAGTCATATCAAACGCGAAAAATTGCTTGGGCTTGATAGAAGCTATTTGGTTGTACCTTTCTGAAGCTGTAGTTGACTCAGGATTTTTTTTCTTACAATTATAAAGGGGATCTTAGAGTACATTTACAATAACTTACTGTGACATTATGCATTCTTTCGTATTACTCTGGAGATAAAGCTCTTCTGTAACGTTTTCGATGGAGTCGATGCGTTCCGAAAGTATACCGATTGATCACGACGGAACGATTAGTTACCAAGTGGTTTCGAAAATAGCGCGTTGAAAGTTTTCGCAGATTTTCACTATTCTAAGCACATGGAATCCAAATAGCATTTTAATTTTTAACAAGTGTGTAAATAAATCCAAGCTCTGAGCATTAGTTAAATGTCTGTATATAATATACGTTTTGAAAGGTATAGAATTTTCTCGGATGGGAACCGGGTATCATACACACTTGCTGTCATTAGTTTCTAAGGAAAAGTTTTATGTAGTTTTGCGATCTTTAATAAAAATGTTAGACTGAGAATGAACTGAATCTGTGTCAATAGATGACTTGTTTCTCGCTGTCCGCATCGTGAAATGGGACACCCAACGCCTCTGGTGACACCGAGGAAAGACCTACTCTGGAACGGAGGGCAATGGTGGCATTTGTTGAACAAGGCGTTGGAGCATGAACATCGTTTTCTTTTTTCCCACATTTCTGACGGAAACGTGGGCTCAACTACCAGTCGCGGATCAAGAAGTGGGGCCACGCCCGAACCGGATTATTGAAAAAGGTGTAAAAATAAGCCTTATGTCAGGGGTTGTCTAGCTGCTCAAACGATACAGTCAAACATGACGACGGCATGAACCCCCAAAGGACTTGAACGAGATAAACAAACAAATGCAACAGCGCACGGGTGGGCAAGAATGATAACGACTAGCTTGGCGTCACCTAGAAACAGTATCAGGACCTTTCTGTGTGAAACTACCATACTTAAAACTAGGAAAATCATCCCTTGTTGAATATGTGGTAAAAATTTGACTTTTACTCTTCCATTTGCGTACTAAAGGCTCGTTATAGTAAAATTTGGTTAGCATATGTACGGGAGCCAACGCCCACAATCTTAGCTGTAGAATGCCGTGTTGTTATAGTTAAAATAGTTCTATATTGTGACAATCAATTTACACACACTGTCCATACGAAAAAGATCCGACACTAAAAAGTTACTCTAACGCAACGAATCATTTCTGCAACGTCTCTGGAAGTTGGCTGAATCAGGCTGAGAACACATGGCAAGGGCGTGTCCGCTGAGAACTGTATATCCATCAAGCCAGAAGCGGAAGCCAAGTTCCTTTCAAATTGCTGCGTTCTCTGAAGAAAACAGGAGAAAGGAACAAACATCAGTAGATGATAGTAATGAATTTATTATACAATCTCTCATTCCAAGGAAACAGACCTTTTCCAACACGAATTTCATTTTAAAACTCTGGAGTTTTTAAGATAGTTGACGTTATTGTAACAAGTTGATGGGAAAATAATTTTACTAACCCTTTCTTGAAAAGCAATGGCAAATAAATTAGGAGCTTCTATCAAATTTTTGAAAAGGAAAAGGCCTTATAAACTAGTTTCAAGAGATAACATCAACATAACAGTATGTTTTTAGCTATCCTCATTTGTTACCACCACCACCTTTCTTAGGAGAGGACAAATGGTTTACCCCTTCCTATTCTGTTAATTAGAAGAAAAAAAAGCAAAGTTTTTATACCTTACGTAATCTCTGGCATAGAGCTGGATTGCGGCTTTTCATAGCCTCTTGAATCTCCAGCTACAAATGTATCAAATGAGGACAGTAAGCCATAGCATGTAAAAAAAAATTATGGTAAGGACTTTGCTCACTTAACCATAGCAAAACGTAGAGACCCAGAAATGCATACCCTGAAAATTTAAACCTTGGACAAAAGGGGCACATTAAGCTGGAGACAGACTGAATCATTAACCTGGGTTCACATGATCACTGGCCAGTGAGAACTCAAAGGCATGGGAAGAACAGATGTCCAAGAAGCTGACAAGACACAACTGGTTTTTAGCTTGGAGTATGATTGGTCGAGAGAGTGACACAAACTTCATCAGAGTGATGTAAAGGAAAACAACAGTAATCACGAATAACTATCAACACTCGATTGGAAATTATCTGGCCTGAACTGCACTTACTCTGTATTCATCTATTGGATATTCCAATAGTTGTGTCAAGATCTGGGAATAAAAACAAAATGAAAAAAACTTGAGATGAAATGCACACAGGTTTGATTTCTGTAGCCTGGTACTCTCTCTAGATGGGATATCAGATCAGTGAAGGCTGTTCACAGCACTTTTCCAGTTTTCTGTGAGTTTCCATCGAGGCTTTTTCATTATTTATCAAACAATCACAAGGCATGAAAATTAACTACACAAGAACGACTTGAAACACATTTCCCCACCTTTTCACTCAGCAAAGCATCCACAGTTGCTGTTCCATCACTGAGTTTTACAGTAATATTCCACTGGGTTGACATGGGATTTGGACGAGATAGCAATGTTGCAATGTAAGCCTATGTTACAGTTAAACAAAGGTGAAAGTTGACAAAAGTACATGACGTGATCAGCACTTCAACAAGGAAATATTCACCTGAAAAACTATAAACAAAACCCTTTACCACCTTTATCTAAAACTAAGCAGCAAGTAAACTCTTGCCCAAGAGTCATCTTCCACTCTGCTGGACCTCATCCTAGTTTCTGTTGCATAAAGAAACTAGGAAAAAATATAGGTCCACTGAATGAGAAGCAAGTCTAGTTTCTGTCCCTACCCCCCAAATTTTTGATTTTCCCTAACAATCTGACCAAAACCATTTATACCAGTAAGCATACAAAAGTGCTATATCTTTCCCAAGAGGATATGTGGTGGTGAAACAGTTAGCACACTGAACCTTGAGTTGAGATACCTTGATTCAAGACCTGGTGAGGTTATTGTGGCAATACTCCCAATCACTTAATACTACAGAAACTGAGACAAGCACCAGCTGAATGAACTATTTCGTTTGAGTGCTGACTAAATTTTTGTCACGACACAATCTTGCATGGTATTTGCATCTGTTAATCTGTAATTCAGCACATAAAGAACCTTTATGCCTCTGCATTTCTCCCATTAGTATTTGCAGTTAACCTAGGCTCAAGCACACCAATAAGTACTTATTTTCAATACCAACCTTAACTCTGACAGTCTGATTCTCATTGTGAGGGGCATGTTTCAACACATCTGATAAGTACTTAAATGGAGCAGAACTATCTTGCAGATCTGTAATTGTTTGTAAATAAACAACCATTAGTTTAAAAAAGCAAGTTACATTTTGATTTGTGGGCATTTGATTCAAAACTATCATGTTATCAGTTTGCCTTGGATAGAGCAACTTTGCTCTTCATTGATGACCACACCCACTGTTGCTGTACACCCTTATTCCTTCAGCAACCACGTCCCATGCAATACATCAAGCAGGTGAGCTGAATAAGAATAATGCTGATGACTACTTTCTGCAGAATGACTTAGATGATTTTTGTTTTACAAAAACTTGTAGCTCTATACGAGGAAATGCAGCAACTCAAAAGCAGCATTCAAATGTTAAGAGCACAGAGTTGAAAGAGCTCTGAATTGGACAAGCTACAGGCATTTTTATGACTCACAAATCTCCAATACATCCTCTACTTGTTACCTTGTGTAAAAGCACTCAGGTGTTGATTTCCACCAAACTCAGTAGAAGAGGCATCATTGTCAAACTCATTATCTAGTTCTCTCTTGATAAGAACACCAGAGGACTTGGTGAATGCAAGTCTTTTTGTTGTCAAATGATCACTGTTATTATTTGTTGGATTTCTCTTCATCTCTAAATCTTTGGTCTTGTCGACTGGCTCACATTTGACAAGAGGAACACATCCATGTCTTGGATTATTCTTTTCACCCATGAATCCTCTTTTCATGTTGTCTGAGGAATTTGATTGTTCATTGCTTGGTCTCCATGTATTGCCATCTGATTTTCTAGACATAGCAATAATGCTGTTAAAATTGCTTGATTTCTTTGCATGATCACTAAATTTTGTTGATGAACTGTTTGATGCTATACTTGCTTGTTTTGACGCATGCACATGTCCAATAGTTTCTCCATTAGAAATTCTCTCATGAAGAGGTTTTATTTCCATGGAATCTGAATCATTTGCCAGTATATCTTCATCAACAAAGTCATCATCAAAGATCTCATCATGACATAGCATTTCACTGGGGATCATGTTCAACTTCACTGGAATACTTTTATTAGCTGTTGTGCTTGCTGAGGTTTGCATGTCTTTTTCAAGCTGATCTATTTGTTCCATATCAAAGTCCTCCTCAATCCCAAAGAAATCATTGTCAGCAACAGCTGCTAATAAGTCATTGTCATCATCAAAAAATTCTTCGTTGCAAACATTTTTCAATTTATCAACAGCACCAAACTGTTGAAGATCTCTACTGCAACTTTGAACCACTTTAGGTCCATTGGGTCCCTGTTGTTTTGATTTCCCTTTGTATTGGTTTTCACTTCCTGTGTTCCCTCTTTGATTGTTGTTGTTGCTGGTAAGACCCCCAGCACTAAAATTTCTTTGGTTTGTTTCTCTTTTCACCAGAGTTCTTGAATCCCTTAGGGTTGTAATGTCAACAGTTGAGTTATCTTGAACAGTCATCTGATCAACAGTGGGCATTTCAATGGTGATAGCTTCTGTTTTTATGCCATCTGGTTTTCTAGGTGGATCTTGCCCTCTAAAAAAAAGAAGAAAAATTTCTGCTATCCTTTACATCTTAAATGAGAAAATAGTTTCAGATTTTTTAACTTGGACCACAAAGTCCATCTGTAGTTACACTCATTTGTTGTTTATGTTGGGGGATCACCAACTACAGAAAAAGTATGTGGAAGCTGGGGCTATGATATAGTTTTAAGCAAGTCACAGAAACTGTTATAACTGCATAGAGAATTAACAAATGGGAATACTTAGTACACCACTAATTACAACTAAGATATCCTATCCAAAAGGATAGCATTAGACTTACATGGCTTGATGCAGCATGTTCCAGTAAGAGTTTTCTTCTATCAGATGCATAATACTTCCACCTAATACCTTGACATTGCTGGGCGTTAGTAGGAGGGCTCCAAGTCTATAAGTTAGGGGACCACTCACTTGTATCTTTAAAGAGAGAAGAACAACAGTCATGGTGTTGAAAGATTTTAATTTTGTCACAAACATGGGGGAAAAAAGGGCATGTTATGGTCTGAAATAGCATCAGGATTAGTGGCCCTATCACTGAGGTTAGGCCCAACAAACAAAGTAGCACAGGTTCAAAATCAAAATTCAAGTTTTTACTTTAGATCCAGGAGGTGTGTTGAATGCCAGGGATGGAATCTGTTGATACTCCATTCCAAATACAGTCTGTTTTCCATCTGTTATTTCAAGCAGTAACATTCGACTTGGTTTTATCTTTGGTTCTGAGGGCTAAAAGTAAACAAGTAAGGATTATAACAGTAAGAAATGTTCAAAAGTGCACAGTAAGACCATATGTATGAGCCAAATTTTTTTTCATTTTAAAACCATGCTTACATTTGCTTTGAAGTTCAGCTCTTGAGGGTCATCTTGACCTTTAAGTTTCTGAATTTGAGAATATGCTGATTCTCCAACATTAAGGATTGAGCTAATCTGTGAGACCATGAGAATGTAAAATCAATGCTATGAAATAACTTTCCTTCACAAAAACTGTTACTTCTCAGCTAGTATCAAATGGTAATTATTGTAGAGTAATTTAGTATTATCAACTGAGTTGAAAAACATAAATTGGCCTCTGTTCAGAGTTTCGAAGCTGACGTTTCGAGTGTTGGCCCTTCCTCAAAATGAATGGAAAGAGACTTGGGTTGGGTGGGGGTCTTAAAAGTAATTTTTAAAACATGCAACTTGTCCTTATAAGATCCTTTCACAGGTAATGATCCTTTTACAGGTAATGAGAATACTCAAACTTATCAGGTAAAAGTTGCCATTTCGATTCAACACCAATTTCTTGTTATAAGAAAGATGGAGATGTATACCTCTCCCTTAATGGAATGAAACTGTATCTGCTGCAGAACAGAGTACAATTTCTGGGTCTTGAATTGGTCTCATACAGGGTAAGAATTCTCTAGTTAGGATCCTGGCAATTGTCTCTTCCAACCTAAAGCCTGGAAGATTGATCTGACAGGGTGTACACCTTAGCAGAGCATGATTCAAGCACGGTCAAGAATAGAGGTCTCTACTACATTCTACACAAGGGTCACCGTTTAAAGCCTTCAGTGACACAACCTTCAACCAAACTTCTTTTCTCTTTCAAGTTTTAAAATCTTATCCTTCTAGCCAACTAAAGCATGAAAACAGTTTATCCCTTTCATGATAAACCCTATTATTATTTATTATATTATTTACTACTCAAAGTAATAATTAATTTTATTTATTCATAAAATCATGCCAAAATTGTGATGTATCATCTGTAACCTGAAGATTGAAAGTCCCCTCGAGTTTACAAATATCCTGGTTCTCAAGGCCTTCTGGAAGACAAGGACGACTGGATTCCTGAATTTCAGCCATCAGCCACTGCTCATACACAAGTTCGTTCAGTTGATCAGGAGACAACGTTCCCTACAAATCAAAAATTATTTGATGTTGCTGTAATTTGATTGTTAAAATTAAACGTAACCGGATACACCCATCATTGAAACTTAAAAACGGGCCAGCTACAACAATTATTCACCCCCAGTTGTCGTACCTCATTGTCTTCTTTCACAAAACTTATGCAAGCATCTAGCCAGTCATTCTGACAATAGGTATTACGAGACTCCAGCCACCGACGGACGACCGCCATTTTGAATCTAGCGCGCGGAAGATGAACACATGCGTAGTACGTTAATTATGACGCAAAGGTTGTCGGGGACGGCCATATTTGTTGATGGCAACTGCAAACATTCTGCACATTTAGGAAGAAATATTTTTTCTAAATATTAACAGTTTTACAAAATGCTGCAAGGAGTGCATCTCGTTGGTGAGGATGAAGACGACGTCTACGGTGGTTTTAACGATTACAATCCAGCCTTTGATACAGAGGTTAGTCGAAGTTGTTTTCGTGTGAAGCGCCGTTCACCGAAAGAGATTGTACGAAGTGATCTGTACTGTGATTACGGAAAGTTTTGCGCGAAACTTTACAAATCCTGGATTTGAATACTGGTTAAGATAACTTAAATGCTCAAATAATTGAAGTGGTAAAAAGTCAGCCACCTCTTTTTTCCCCTTTTGCCTAACGTGGCAGCCAGTTAAACAAAACTGAGACAAGATCATGCACAAATAGGAATCTTTTACTGGTCCGGCTAGATTCTGACTCAGACTTTTTATCTTTGGTCTAAAACAAAGGTTTAAGCTTTCAACATATTCCCTTATCTCCCTTCTCTACCGAAAAGCTTAGGCTGCACAATTTGTACGTGAAAAAATTGTACTTTCAAATTGCATTGAGTGTTGCAGGTAATTTTTGCATTGAGTGTTGCAGGTAATTTTTGCATTGTTTTGTTCAGGAAACTTAGGCCGCCCTCTCAGCCAGTCAGATGAAAAACTATCTCATCATGATTCCGTCAAACCTAATTAGATTTCGATTAAAATTTATCCAAGTCATTGAAACTTGACTGTTCAGAAGGATTTTTCATTAGTAAAGAGATTTGTCATTTGAATAGCAATTGTTTTTTTCGGGTTGATTAAAATCTGTGTGTGGCCCTATCAACTAAGTGATCTTCCTCTGTTTTGGTCATAAGTACTACCAATGTGTCTGAAATAAGATTGCAAAGTTTTCAAGGCGTTGAGATATATTTCAAAGTTTACATTTTATGTCAAAAGTCCAACCTGTTGAAATGGAGGATTTCCACTTAGTTATGCTTTCAATAGGATGTTAGTGGTTAAAAAGGTAGTGATCCATGTCAGAAGTGACTTTGTTATATTACAAATGATTGTACTGCATTATAAGTGTATTTACCATGATTTTAACTACATCATGATAACTTTTAATGGCACATCATCAGTTTTCTAGATGTACCCCTCTCCTCTCTGATTAATTGGAATCAAGACCCTTTTTTTCTTATAGATAAATTATCATCTCTATACTAATTATTGTACATACATATTAACATACTGGAGAGGAGGAAAATAGAAAAACAAAAAAGTTACAAAATGATTCACAGCAATTTTAAATACAGTGTAATTTTTTCCAGAACTTGCAATCAGTACAAATGGATTAACCTCTTTCCTTAGCAGTGCATTTCTATTCATCAACATCATCAGCAATAATTAATCAATACTGTGTTTTTATTGATGAGTAAGAATCTGTTTGATATCCTATTAAAAGACCCTTGAAATTGATTGTTCTGTTAAGCACAGTCTCCATATCTAGCAGCCAAAATTGTGCTCTTTGAAGAATTACCAAGTGCATTAAGGCTCTTTTCTCAGAAATCAAGGCTGCCCAGCTCTTGAAAGCATGCAAATAAGCAAGGATGGATCATGCAAAGACAAAATTCATTTCACTTTGGCACTTGTGCTCTGCTTGAGCACAGGCGTGCATTACAGGTCCATGTAAAAATGTTTGTACAGTATCTAAAAATTTAAGAGCACAGAGCAGTGTTATGAATAGAGGATATATCGGTTGTCTTGAATTTCACCCTTATGCTAATAGAATTAATATATAGAACTGTAACCTGCAGTTTGTGTCATAACTTAACCTTAATTTCTATTTTATTCCATTAAATCCTACCAAACATTTTCTTTTGGATTTTTAGAATCTTGAGGAAGATGAAGAATTTCAACAAGCCCTGAAAACAAGTCATGGACAGAGACCTGGTTTGGTGAGTATCACATTTTGTTGTTGCCTTTCATTTTGCACTTAAAAGAGTTTGGTACCGGAAAGTCAACCCCCATAATATAACCCCCATAATATAACCCCCATAACTTGAAGCATACAGTTTGTTATTGTTCTTCTAAAAAACAGCGTTTCCTTTTATAACTTTGTATTGTTCAAACTACTTAGTAAACTAAAGAAATAGGAAAAGAGCTTAGGAGCATTTTTATTAAAATGAGAAAGGATGTTGTGTATGGGATTGGTTCACTTTAAAACTATGCATATATTTGATTATTTTGTAAGTAAATGTGAGCTGATCCCAAATTGTAACAACCTGCTGTAATAGTTAATTAAAGATATACATGATGTGTTTGGTGTACTTACATATGATGTCAATATGAAATTATTTCAGACTAGTGCAATTTGTATTTTCTGCTTGTTGAGGATTATGGTAATGGACCTAGAACTGTGGAAAAGACAAGTCAAACTCCTTTTTTGCAGTAATTTTGACCTGCAATTTATTGTGAATGGCAGTGCAAATGTTGTGATCCTATATTTTACCTTGTTTAAGATTTGTATTTTCTTCCTCAAATTACAGAAAACTGGCATGAAAATATCCACATCAGCTGGGGTATGATACAACTTAAATTGCTATTTTCAAAACCATCCAAGAACTTAAAGTGTTTCTCAATTTCACTTATTGTTATCATTTCTCTTAAATATACATTTAGCGAGGGAAAGTGCCAGGATCTTCAATGGGACGACCAACAACTGGAATTGCAGTGAGTTTATGGTCTTCTCTTGCCTTCTTTTTTTTATGAGTTATTTTTGTTTTCCGCACATAAAGGTTAATTATTATTGTCAAGTTGCTTTTAACTGCTAATGCTTATCCCTGGTGTGTGTAGCACAGATTGAATAGGATTATGGTTAGTCCCTCTTAGATGGTATGTTAGTCTGTTAAAGATTCTCTCCAGTGCCCCCTCCCAAACATTTTGTCAGGTTTCCCTTGACAGTTTGTTGGTAATTGTTTATTTTTTCTGGCTCAAGAGGCACTGTGAGGGTGAAGTGTCTTGGCCATGACCCAGTCAGGCCTCCAGATCTAGAGTCCAGAGCACTAACTGCTAGGCTAAGTTGTATCTCTCTTATATCTTAAGCATTTGTCAAACATTTTGGTTGAATTTTGAGTGCCAGATCTCTGAAATGTCAATGTTTGTATTTTTTTCATTGTTTTTGTACAGTCTATGCAGTAACAAAACAACCCAGATTGGGAGAAGAGATTGATGTATATAGTTTTAAAGCATTTAGTTCTGAAGTACATGTTTAACTACAATGTAAACAATGAACATTTCACCCTTGAGAAAAATGATATTATGAGAAGAACAATATCATGAGAATGTATACCAATAATTGAATTTGCAAAGAATAAAAAGGAATATTGTCTGATAGTGAAATACTTTCTATCTAGGATACAGGAATGGCTCGTCCTATGACTGCAGTGCGTGCAGTGGGTTACACATCATCAGAAAGTAAGTACTGAACTACAAGGTCTTGAGGCAGGCTGCATTCTTTGCAGTGAACACTGTATCACTGAGTACCAGCAATACTACTAAAGAACAGTTTGCTTTTACTTTATACACATATACACTGTATCTTGCATGAGTACAATTGAACCTGTATTGAGCAGCACCATACTAAGCAGTCACCTTGTATTAAACATTTGGTCATCAAAATTCTAAATTTGTTTCCCCTTAATCACAGTAATTTTTACCTCTATTAATTGGTCACCTCTATGAGGCAGTCACAATCACCTTTGAGTGAGTCCCAACAGCCAGTTTGTATTTTCTTTCACCTGTTTTGAGCAGTCACTTAATGCAGAACTACTTGAATAGAACTAAGTAAAATTTAATCCATATTTCTCTCCTGAAATCAATGTCTGTGGTATTTTTGAGCAAGTTTTTGTACAATAAATGGTCAATTATGGTATAAAATGGTGTTTTTTTATGGTTTTTCATATTACCCCATATTCTCCAGAACATGTATTAAGCAATCACCTACCGTTCCCTGTGGGTGACCACTCAATACAGGTTTGACTGTAAATTTTGTTGTCAAGAACAGTTAAGGGTAAAATTCATTGCCTAAATATATTTAGTAATCTGTGAACTTTTTCATGTTTGTATTGGAATGAGTAGTAATTGTTGATGTTATTTTAACATTGCAACTGCTGTCAGGGGACTTTAGTTACTTTATTTTTTGATTGAACGCTAGGATTTGTATACTAAATACCTTGTTGCCAAGCTGGAGTTGTGATAGTTAATTCAGTAGAATTATAGTGCACATTTTTGTTTTCAAGGTGTAGTTAGTTCAGTGTTAATTGTGAGATGTGTGGCTGTCTTAGGTAATGGATGTTAACAGTCATAAATAAACTTATTTGCACCTTCAGTTGTTAACCAGATTAAGTTTGGATCGAGTGTCAGTGTAAAATATGGCATATACTAATGAATTGTACTTCGAAAAGATGAAAGATGGTAAAATGCATTACAGTAACCCTTAACAATTTATTGACCATGTATTTACATGTACTGCCTTACAGAAACATCCATGACTGGGGGTGCCCAGTTTGACCCTTTCAACCAAGCACGTTTACCTGCCCCTCCCCTTGAAGGAAAGGCAGAGGAAAGGTTGGTTGTTGATTCTATGTAAAATACGTGCATAATATTTAAGTTCATAATTCTAACTCATCAATTAGGAGCAACCTTGGTAGGTGCCTCAGATGATAGTGGACCCAGGGGCATACAAGCTTAGTGTTACATCAACATAACTGTCACACTGAATAAAGGAAATTTGGCTGAAATTGAAAATGTATATTTGCCAGTGAAGGAAGGGAAGGGGAGAGAATTTTTCATAAAGATGTGAAACAACACAGGGAAATCTTTGCACTATTAGTGTTGTAAGGCCTTGTACAGGGTTTTCTTTAGAAAGCTAAATTTGAGATGACAGTTTCACTCTACAGGAGGGTTAGACCCTCCTATTTCATAGAGGCAAGGTGATCTTATGTGCCACTTATTCTGCCATGGTAGTGTT